CAGAGTTTAAAATTAATGAAAGGTATGAATTTGTGATTTTTATTTTGATTTTTTCTTCTGTTGTGAATATTTTTTGTTCAAACTTTCTCAGTCACCTTTGTAGTTTGGTGGTCTACTATGTTGGTAATGTTTGATTTTTTTCTAGTTTCCATTTATATATCTGTCTTCTAGTGAGATTTATACTTTCACATACTCTTATGAGTTGTCCATTTCCACTTTTGGATATAGGACTCCTCCAAAGGCTGGTTGAATGGTCTTGAGTTTTCTTAGTTTTTGCTACTCTTCAAAGGTTTTTTCCCCCTCATTTTTTTTTAATGAAAGACGTCCTTCTGGGTAGAGCAATATTGATTGGAAGTTATTTTCCTGCAGGACTTGAAATACATTATTCCACGCTCTTCTGGCCTGTAGAATTTTGATAAAATATCTGCTGTTAGTCTAATGGGGTGTCCCTTTAATGTGACTTGGTGATTTTTCTCTTACAGATTTTAAAATTCTTTATCCTGTACTTTTGATAACTTGACCTTTGTGTGTCAGCATGAGAATCTACTAGTTATATCCAGTTTTGTTTCTGTAAGCCTCCTGTTTTTGAATATAGATGTCTTTCCCAAAATTTGGGAAGTTTCCATCATTTCACTGAATAGGTTTTTATGCCCTTTGCAGATATTTGATCTTCTTCATTCTTTTCTCCTTATTTCTGTCTGATTGTAATATTTCAAAAGATTTATCTATCAGTTCCAATATTCTTTTTATTTTTCCATTTGTGTTGGTCTTTGCTTGAGGTTTTTGGCTGCATTTTTGTCTTATTGAGTTCTGTTTATTTTCAAGATTTCTGATTGGTTCTTTTTCAAAATCTGTCTTTTTGCCAAATTTCTCATATTCTGCATTATGTTCCTAGTTTCATTTGACTTTATTTTATTGGATTTCATTGAATTTAAAGAAATAATTCTTTTGAGTTATTTACTGGGCATGTCAACCTCTTTGATTTTCTTTGGAATCTGTTATTACAGAGTTAGGAACTTTAGGATGAGTCATATTACCTGGTTTTTCATATTTCTTGTATTCACATGTTGAGATTTTTACATCTGGTGAAATGAATATATGCCATTTGTATGGTCTGGTCTTCTTAGAAAGTGACTTTCTTCTAAAGATACGTCTTAGGTGCAATTTTGAGTTTATTTCCAGCTGAGTACCACAGTGGAATTTCCTTTTTAAAATTTTTTTTCCTTGTGATTAGTGTGTGATTAGTCTGGGCACAGTGCGCACAATACTGGAATCAGTGAGACATTCTGTAGGGATTCTGTAAGAGTAGTGACATTCTAGCAGTTCAAGCAGGTAGATGTGTGTGTGTGTGTGTGTGTGTGTGTGTGTGTGTTTTGTGGGGTTTGTACCACGTGGTTACTCCTACCACAGGAGTGGTTGCTCCTATCAGATGATGGGAGTCTTTTTGGGCACTACTGATATTGGCTCTGTTACTTGTATAAATCTGTGGTCTTGGCTATGCCAGTAGAGGTCAGGGGCCTCACACACTTGGGATAGAGAGGGGCAAGAATCACAGCACTCCTCTATGACACTTACTGCCTAATTGGACAAGATGTGCAGGTGACAATATAGGGATGCTGAGGCATTATTTCTCACTGCTATTATTGTGGGTATTACCATCTTAGACACGACTTCAAAACCTCCCATCAAAGCTATACATGCCTGGGAATGGGACCTCAATTCTTGTGTGGTACTCACAAGGGACCCAATGGGACTATGCCATAGCTGGATCCAGAAAAAATTTCAGCTATGGAGCTACAGGAGAGAGGCTGTGCAAAAAGCAGCCACGGCCAGGCAATTTTCTCTGTATCTCCTTAGGTTGCATATCCCAAGGGCAGGGTGAAGGCTGATGTTTTCTTCCCATATTCTCATTTGTATGCTCACCAGGAATCAAGTGGGAGCAGGCTGTGGTTGGATCCAAGTAACATCTTCTCAGCTAAGCTGCTCAGAGGAGTGAAGGAGGGTAAGACATGGCCATCATTATGCAAAATTTCTCTCTGGACCTCCTTAGACTCCATGCCTTGGGGATGCCAACATTGTTGAAAACTGCCGCAACATGTCTCTGCGGGAACTCTGAATTCTTTCTCTACTTTCTTAGGCACTGGTTCCTGTGTGTGGTACTAGAAGAGGTGTGATGGGAACCATGTTAGCTGCTGGTCCCTGTGAAAAGCTGCATGTGATTGGGCCTTGCCCCTGGACTCAGGGCAAGCTTTCCCATCCACCTGTTTCTCACTGAATAGCACTCTCAGAAGTCTGTCAGCATCACTCCACTCAGCCACATCTGGCATGAGGGGCAGCCACGAGCTTAGCCAGTACAGTGAAATACCTGTGGGGCCCAGAAAGGGAAGTGTACTGTGGGCCTTGATCCCTAAAATTGCCTATGAGACAAAAGATTCCCTCACAAGATGGCTCCTAGTTACACTTCCAGGGGGTTTGCTGGGAGAGGAAGGGAATTACTTTCCCAATGCTAGATTTCAAGCCTCTTATGTGTTTATTCTGTAAGCCTGAAAGAACTGCAAAAAACTTTCCAGTAGTTAGGATGATCAGTATCTTAACCACTGGAGTTTCCTGGGACCCTCATCTTTATCCTTGTGGAGGGAGACTCTTTGCATAGTAGGTGATGGGATAATTTTTTTCTCTTACTGTGCAGCTGTCCCAGGGCTTTGAATTTTTACCAGGTTTCCTTTCTTTGCTGTTGAATTCCAGTATTCTCCTGTACTCCTTCGCTTAAGGATGCAGTTGTGTACCTATTGCTTTGGCTGCTTTTGTGGAGGAGCAGGTGAGGGCTGGGGACCTCTGTTCAGTGACATTGCCTGCAACCTGTCTTAAACTTCGTAATGATTTAACCTTCTTGTTTGCCAGTTTTCCAGCTGCTTATACAGTCTTCTGTGAACTACCGAAGAGCATGAAAGAACTGAAAGGTTTTGGCTTTTTTTGTTCTTTCCAGACAGTCGACATTTGAGGGATGCTTGTTGAGGGAATGAATGTTAGGCTGTGAAAGCTACAGCCTCATCCACGGTGCTGAATTTGAGAGTTATAAAATGGAAATAAAAGAAAATTTTCTAAATTTAAGTGCAACATTAAAATCACAAAGCAAATATCAGGTAGCTCAAAAAAGGTGAAAAATAATCTTCAGATCTAGGTAAAGATGCTTAGTAAAGATCAAAATAAAAAAGTCTATGGCATGGATTCATGATCTTATATGCCTTTTTTCTTCTGTTACTGAAGCATATGAAGTTGCAGTGTGAGTACTTCTCCAGTGCTTGTGTGAAAGATAATATTTAGATAATTACTATCTATGCAATGAGTTTCAGTGATTAGTATGAATTCTCATAAAGAAGTGAGTTTTGGAAAGTGACAGTTCCATATTTGGAGCACAAAAGACTCAAGACAGACTTGGAGGTACACGGTAATCTTTTTCTTACAAAACTCAATGATAATATTTTTAGTTTGTGATGTTTAACAAAAGTAGAAATCATGAGATCCAATTTATGCTTATTTGCTAAAGAGACATAATTTCCACTTATTAGCCTTACCATTGAGGAGAATGATCCTGACTTCTAGAAAATTACTTTAAAAAATAGTGTGATATTTTTGTGAATAGATAAACAAATGTAGAGTGGATTTTGGGACAGCTACAGTTCAGTAAATGATACACTAACTGATTTATAAGTGGGTAGAAGGAATCCAGTGTTATTTAGAAAGGTCTTGTCCTTGATTCTTGACTTTTTAGCTGAATGTTTCTACCAACAACTGGAATGATAACATGCTTATAAAATTTAGAGATGACACAAAGCTATGAGAGCCAACTTACCTTAAAGATTATTCTCAAAAATATATTCAAGTTGGAACAATGAATAAAAATCATTTGAAATTTAATGAAAATGAAAAGATAACATACTCAGATTTTCAGACTAAATATGTCATTCATAATGAGAAACACTTAAGTTTAGAAAGTTTAAGGAAAATCTAAAATTTTTAATTAAGAGCTTACAATGAGTTAAGAGTATGACAGTGGCTGCTTGGGCCTAGCAGGGAAACCAATATTATCTTCAGCTTAATTACCGAAGGATCTAGAGTAGGGATCAGAACATTTACTCTTCTAAGGGCCAGATAATAAACACTCTTTGTGGATATCCCATCTCTGGTATCACATCTTGATTCTGCCACTTTGGTGTAAAAGAGAAAATATGTAAAGGAATGAAAATGGCTGATGATCCAGCAGTACTTGATTTACAGACAAATTTTGAATTTTAGGCGTTTATCACATGTCCTAAGATGCTCTTTTGGTTTAAAAAACCATTTGAAAAGATGCATAAACATATAAAAATCATAGTTAAGAACCATATAAAGATAGATGGCAGTGGGTTTGGCTGGTAGACCAGCACACTGAGCCTTTGGTTAGCCCTGCTCACAGTGCTCATGGGTGACTGAGGGTGATACACAAGGTGAGCATTTCCCAAAAGGCAGCCAGTAGAGGAGACAACCCGGGGCGGCGAGCCATACGCCATGTGTGTGTGAGTGGTTTTTTTTTTTCTTCTTTTAACTAAAACCTTAGTATTCAGGCACTTTGCTATAAATAAGTGGGTTTTGGGTTTCAGTTTTATTTCCAAAAAGTTCAGCATCACTGAGCTAGACTCTCTTATTCCAAAGAGCAGAAACATAAGGAAGAGTATCATCCAAACTGAAAAATGCTGGAAAAACGGTCAAGGAAATGGAAGACACTTTCCCTCTGCTGTTTACAAACCTGGGCTGCTGAAAGGAAGTTTCAGGGAGGCACACTTAACTTAATAATACATGGAAGAATTTCTGTCAAACAGCTGCCCCATTATAAAGCACATTGCTTCTTAAGGTTGCTGCTCAGTGATGCTTCAAGAACATTGGTGAGGGGATTCCACAGTGGGTGAGAGATGGGAATCACAACATAAATATTTTATAAAATATTATAAAACAAACCTAACCTTCAAAAATCCTTAGGACCTCTTGATTAATATACTTCTTTATTTCTTCGAATGAAACTGCATCAGCCTAGTGAAGGAAAAAGAATTGTCCGTTATAATAGAGAATAGCTCCACTGAATAGACGACATCGTGGGTTGGTATGCGCATTTGAAACTCTCGTAGTGATATATTTATCAAACAAAATACTTTTGGAAATTGACTGTTGGGAACTAAATATCTTTTGATCAAATAAGGAGGGTAAATTGAAGTGTGTAATTGCTTTAAAAGCTGAGGGATGGAATTCTAAACTGTGATGTTAACGTATTTCCCATTAGTGGAGAGGTATAGCTTCACACAGTTAAAAGAAGTTCATTTTATAACATTAAAGAACTCAAATAGTGTTACCATGATGTTAGTATCCCAACCTCAAGTTTAACTTTTAACTAACTAATTCCACTACACTGGAAAACTACCCATTTGATACATATCCTCAAAGGAGGGAAATATCCAAGGTAACTGAGTCTGCCTGAGTATTCCTTCAGATTTTTATTCTTAGACTAAACTCACAAATTTTTCCCATTTCATTACAAAATTTATTGTCTAACTTATACATTATAATCATAAATGTACCAAGCAATTTCTACATAGAAAAGTGCCTGTGAGATCCAGTAAAAGCAAGTACATGAATGACATCAGTGGAATTGTTAACGCCTTAACACTTAAGTCTGCACATTTACTAAAAATCTAACATTGATAATGTTTTACTATAGTACCTTGATATTTTCAAAGGTTAGCATTTTATTTTTTCACATCTAGTTATTCTACTTGCTTATTATCCAGGTGTATGTGTGACAATAAATATGCCCTATACATTGTAATATAATTAGAAGTTGTGACAGGGAATAGCCCCATTACTAGGTCTCTACTTTGAGATGTATACATGAACAGAGACTATAATTGTGCATATCAGTAGGTGAGACTTTAAAGCTTTTATGGCTTAGATCTGAACTGCTCCTCCAAAATCTCATGCATTGAAGAGGTGTGGCTTTTGGGAGGAGACTGGATCATGGAAACACTATACTCACAAGTGAATTAACTCATAGAGTTCCTAGCTGATTGTGCTAGTAGCAGGTGGGGATTGGTTGAAAGACATGGTTCACTGGTGGCATGACCTAAAAGAGTATAGTCATTCCCCTCCCTCCCCTTATCTCTCTGCTTCCTGGCTGCCATTAGTTGAACAGATTTCTTCTGCATGCCCCTCTGCCATGCCATTTCTGCCCTGGAGTCAGACAAGTGTAGACCAAACCATCTGAATCCATGAGCCAGGTTGCAATGTCAGGGATGTATTTTATCCCAGTAATGGAAAAAAGTGACTAACACAGAAGCTCTTTAAAATCACTGTGCAGTATCATTTTCAGGCTAGATCATGCTTCAACTCTTCTCTACAATTAGACAAGAGCCTTAATTTGTAGAAGTCTCTGTCTTGGTAGACCTCTCATCATTCTCCCTTACAATTTCCTTCTTCCTGTTTCCATTCTGTGGCTGGGCATATGATTATAATATTGCTGTGGGTTTTCCTAACATTATGGTACTAGTTCATTTATACAAGTAGCTCATTTAGAATAAAGACAATGTGATGGGATGATAAAGTGATTTCTATTGGACAAAGTAGTTCCAAACATGCCTGATTGGCTTTCTATGCCCTCAAGAAAAGTAACAGTGTCTCCATTTCTGAATGATAATGCATCTTATTTCTCTTAACATCTGCCTTAAATCCTTCTCATGCCTCTTAACAAAAAAAAATACCTGATTTCATTACTTTCACTGTGTATGACAAATGAACTTGAATTAATGCACTTAACATTACTGACACAAAGCCAAGAGTTCATATTATACAGGTCTCATTTTAAGTAGAGTTTAGAGAGAGCAGATAAAAATAAAGAAGTACTGACATGAAAACTGTAGGAATGCCCCATTGCTTTTCACTATATCTGATATTAACATAGGCTTTATTAAAGCAGAGTTTAGGGAGATAGGTAAAAATGAAAATGTATGTAGGAACGCCCCATATGCTACACTGTACAGTTAGTCTACACTGCATCTGGCATCAGTCTGAGGAAAGCACGTCTTTAATTCTCCTGTTCACTCCAGGACCCTTCTTTCTTCAGTCATGATCATTTTCAGATTAAACTCCTCTGTGAACTCCAGAGGCTATTAATAGATAATGGTTTCTTTAAACACTCTCGCAGGGCCTACATGGTCTTTCCTTTGAAGCCCTACTCAGGGAAAATCTCTTGTCCTTACAGTCAACAAAATAGAGTCCCAATGTGAAAGAGACTTGCATGGTTTCTCTGTAGTGTAAGGCAACATTATAGGTAGTATTTTAAAAGCACAGTTTGGAACCTGGCTGTGACCTACTGAATGATTCTATGATCTTAGCCAAGTGGTCTCCTAGTTTTTGCTTTTAGAAAAGTGGGACTGAAACATAACCTGTCCTCCCAGACTGGTTGTGAAGATCAATGAAATAACATATACTGAGCGCTTAACAAGGATCTGACACACAATTCTAAAGAACACCAGAGACTGGTTCAGGTATAGGTATTCATGTACTTTAAAAGCATTGTGGTTCATCATAGGCAGAGCACACAAACAGTACTAGGCAGGAGTCCTTGAGGGACTCAGCACCACTTACCGGAGCACTAGGGAGGCCTGGGGCTCCCGGGGGGCCTTGGTGGCCAGGTGATCCAACAGAGCCCTTGCTTCCTGGTGGCCCCACAGGACCTATGGCTCCTTTCATGCCCATAAAGCCTGGTTTTCCTCTTTCACCTTGTGGACCTCTGTCTCCAGGAATTCCCTGATCACCCTGTTATGGGGAAAAAAGATCAGGGATGGTCTTATCTAGAAAAACATTTGATATGGCCAAGAGCAAGTTCTAGATTCATACTGCTATTTATTTGCTGTGGGACCTAAGATAAGTAAATTAAAGTCTCTCTTTCCTCTTTATAAAGCTGGGATATTAATACAATCATATCTAAGGGAATTTACTTAATAGAACACTGCTTTGTGCCTTGGATGCACTCTCTAGATCAGTGGTAGCAAACTAATGGTACACGTGCTGTTGTGGGCATATAGAGCCCTCTCTGTTGGCACATGAGCCAAGTTGCCCTAGCAGCTGAGTGTTGAAATGACAGCTGATTTTCTAAGCTAAACTTTCAGTATTGAGGTTTAATTGCAGTGTTTGCACTTGGCGATCAATAAGTGAGGTTTGGCTTGCAGTTTGGGCACTAGTCTTTGAAAGGTTCACCATCTGTGCTCTAGATCAAGAATACTGATGCAGAGTCATGCTTTGCGCTGAATTTAAAGGGGGTGCTTTTGAAAGTCAACACACCTGTCACTCCAGATCTGAGTCTTGTTTGCAGTAAAAATGAAAAATTGCCAAAATGGTCTCCCCACTGAGATTTTCCTTGAAAGAAAACTTCAGGACACTTGAAGCCTTTTCTAAGTCACATACATGTTTTCCTCCTTCCTGAATTGCCCCAGTTTGTCTGGTCCTTATTAGATGGATTGGTTTTGTCTCCAGTGCTCAATTTTTGCATGTGTATGTGTGGTCATATGTTCAGTTTCAGAAATATACATAACTCAGGAAGGCCAGGGGAGCCTTTGAAAGGCTCAAAGCTGAAGAAGAGGGATGGCGCTTGGATCGTTTACTCAGGAGGAATTGCTGAGTAAAATAATCAGAATTAGAAAGGAAACTCTGTTAGATGTATACGAATCTGATAATGAAGTCTCTTTAATGCTGTCTTTGTTATATGGTGTGTCTACTGCTGGATGGGTTTGGCCAAGAGTGGAAGAGGAAGAGATTAGAGCAGGTGTCTCCGTTATACAGTTTCAAATATTGAGTCTCATGGTACCAGGAGGTGATGATGTTCCCACCTTATGTTCACATAAGATGGGATGGTGCTTGAGGGCGCCCTGTTGCATTTGTAATTTACTCTGTTACTGGTCAAACTGTAGTTGTCTTGAATTTTAAAAAATAATGAAAATATATCTGTGTATAGGCAAATCAAACCAGGTCACATTGGGAGACACTTCTGAGATAGCTAAAAATACTAGCACACTTTGATCAACACAAAGTAAATGTGAAACGTAAATTTAATTCTTAATATTTTTATGTGTTAGAAAGACATTTGGTACAGTAATATTTATTATAAAAACTAGGAAGAAAATGGTCAGCAAAGAGAGACTAGGTTAGTAAACATATCCAAGAAGATATAGCCATTGAAAGGTAGATGTACATATATATTTACTGACTGAGAAAAATAGTTACTGTGTGTCACTACATGAAAAGTTATTTACAAAACAGCATGGACTTATTTTTAGAAAACTATATATTTCTTTACACTGATACCTGTGTGTATGTATGTGTGTATTAAATATATGGAGAAAAGAAAATAGATTCAAAATATCAAAAGTGTTTATTTCTCTGCAGGGAGACAAAGAAAAATATTTTTATTTTTAAATGTATGTTTCATTTTTAATATTTTCCTTAGTTATCATGGATTACAGTTTACAAACACAAACGTGCCCATAGTTTCAAGTAAGCACATCCCTAGATAGAATTATATTAAGTAATGGTGCCTGAATGACTTGCAGTAGTGATTTGTGATATCAGTCCTATTAGAAAGTATTGAGGTTCATTAAAGAAAATGATAGGAACTTTCAAATATAATATTGGCAGCCCAAACAATTCAATACAAGTCTATCAGCTAGGTGGCATTATTAATAACTTCATTACATGTGCAGTTGCCCTGTTTTCCCACATCCTCACTCCATCTTCCTTACTCAGGATTCTTCTAGATCAGTGGTTCCCAACCAGGACAAGTCTGAGCCCGGGAAGCATTTGGTGATGTCTGAGGACACTTTTGGGAGGATGGCGGCTATACTATATCTGGCAGGCAGTGGAAGTTTCTACACATTCTAGAACACATAGGATGCCCAACCACACACAAAAAATTATCGGTCTCTAAGTATTGACAGAGGTTGAGAAACACCTCTCTTTAAACAACGACAATGACAACAAAAAAACAACAAAACAAATCAAACTTGGGTGATGGTTATAGCAAGCGTGTGAGTCTAAGACTGGACCATAAACACTTTCCAAACTAGAAGAGCAAAGGCCAACAGCAGGGTAATTGCCATATGGCCTGCTTCAAGGTCTGTCAGTGCTCCTATTTAATGCCTCACGGAGAGCTTGGTCTTTCTGGTGGGGGAGATTTATAAGTGTCTATGCACAGAGCTGGGTAACCGGAATGGTGGCACACTTGTAACAGACTTAAAGAGCAATGACAAAAGCAGTATACGTACACGTTCTCCTTTGGGGCCTCTGTCTCCAGGTTTCCCCATGAGGCCCTGAAAAACAGATGACAACATCAAAATCATTGCTTTCTGAGAGGCCTCATCAATCTGGCCAATCTAAATGTTAGGTATTTGGATGTGGTTATGAATTAAAATTTTTAAGTGTTATTTTTCAGTACCTGAGCACCTGGTAAGCCATCTTTTCCATTTATTCCCTATAAAGACAAAAAAGATATTTCTAATTCTTCATCAACAGACATGGTTAAACAGAACAAAAGGGTAATGTTTCAAGGATGAATCCTGAGTAGTAAATCTCCTGAGATCTTGGTGAGTCAGTGTGGTAAAACAGAAAACACAATCTTTACAAGCAGATGGCCTTGAGTGCAAATTCTGGCTCTTGCTACTAGTCCTATTGATCTGGTTTGGGCAGTTTGCTTAAACTCAGAAGGAATCAATTCTTCCAAAGTGAGGGGTCTGGTGATGGACTTACAACTAAGGATTAAATAAGATAACATGGAAAACAGCCCATTGTCTTTATCACCAGAAATCATTTCCTCTATCTCATTTCTGATTAGAAACACTTTGGGAGATAAGAAAGGGCCCCAGAGCATTAGCTGGCTGGGGCCTGGCATTTTTATTACCTTCAAACACATTTTCCAGCATAGAGTCATTCATTCTTTGTAAGTGGTCTCAGTTGCTGCTGGGGGAATTTCAGAACATGGTCAGAGCCTGATGCGACTATGAAATAAACTGTCAGCTGGAGAACAATTGTAATTTTTCAGTTGGAAAATATGAAAGGAAAGCCAGACATCTGTAATCATGGTTTGAGAGGGTATTAGGTAGTGTCTTTTTATAAGAAAATGGAATGTTTCCTGATCTTTAAAAGGCAGTTTGGGAAGTAGAAATAAAGCCTAGTTCTGCTTGGAGATTTATAAGATTGGAAGAACTACTGGTCGGGAGATGTAAACAGGAATAAATAGTACTTGGGGTCAAGTCAAATACCCAAGGCCCAACAGCAGATATATTTCTGAGATTTGATTTGAAGAGAGAGATCAAAGCGAGGGTGATGTGATAGCCTGCAGGCAATTGCACGGACACGCTTTCTGAAAAGCCCAAGAGACTCTTACTGTGCTAGAATAGATTTGTGAAGTTGAAACTGCAGACAACCTCATGTTTTCACTGCTGTAAATTACCCCGAAATCTGTCACAGTTGATAACCCAAGCACAGTCTCCTAACCTCTCTGAAATATCCTGGGAGTTATCTAGAGTACTTTAACTGAGAACATATTCCCTGACGTATACGGTTCGAAGAATTTATTATACCAAGGAACACAAGCAGCAAAGATAAAGCCGATTAAGAACAGGATGTAAAAGAAACAATTGCCATGAATAAAAGATGATAAGCACAAAAATAAAATTCATGTTCTTGGTAACAATATAAGAAAAGAATATTATAACATCCTCTTTTGTATATAAAGGTGTTGCTTTCTATCCATAAGGCGTCCTGCTTTATATCCCTCATTTGCATTTGTTCTTTTCCCGCATCCTACTCATCTGGCCGAACCCTCCACCTGGGCATAACCGGCTTTCTTTCTACCCCACACCTGCATCTGAGTAGCTGACTGGTGTATGTTCTAACCTAATTGCCTGACAGCAGGTTGCAGCCAGCCCCTCAGCTTTATGAGATCCTCCTTCTGTATCTGTCAGTTTGATTCTCTTTCCTTGTCCCTAAAAGCACTGCTATTTCCCCTTCAAAACTTCCGTATCACCTCTTGATTTCTCCCCCCTACCTGACAACCTCAATTTTCCATGTGCTGAGGAAACAGAGAAGTCTCCCACCTTTGCTTCGCTGGTTCCATTAATCCTTTGTACTCATCTTCTGATTGCCCTCCCCAGCTTCTGCAGTTGAGAAGGATGAACTGTTGCTCTTACTAAAGATTTCCACTCCTGAGCAGGGGTCAGTGCTCTGGTCCTACTTAGTCTCCATTCTCTTATGTGACCAAAATGTCCCCTCTTATTAAGAGATTGGGTCATTCCTGTCAAGTACTAACTAAAATAACTTCTCCCAACAATGATCTCCATATTTCCGCATCCAGTGGAGAATCCTTAGTCTTCATTATTTCGTATCTGTGTTTATCACTCTTCTCTCCTTTCTGTCAAAACCCTCCGTTCACTGATGCCCACGAAATGGCATTTTCCTGGTTCCTATCTCACTGTTAGCGCCTTCCCAGCCATCTTTGCTGGTCCTTTTCCTAACAGTGGAAGTGCTCTCTCCATCCACAGTGACTACATTTCCCTCGAGTTCACACCCGTAGTGGTCTCTCCAATCCTGGTCTCTTGTAACGTTCAGGTGCATATACCCCCAGTACACTAGGCATTTCCACTTTGGAATCCACTAGTGCTTCAATGTGAACATGCTCCAGATGCAGAACTCCTGGCATTTCTGTCCAAGCCCAGCGACATCCAGGCTTTCTCACTGGTCTGACGGCACCTGCCTCCGACCTGAACAGGCTTCCAGTTCCCTTAGCAAGACTTGCAGCTTCATTTACTCTTCTATTTCATTCACCTTTGACTTGATATCTTTTTGATTCCCCCTGGATCTCACTGGGCTTGCTCCCCTCTGGGCCATTTCTTTTGCCTAAAAAATAATGTTCTCTCCAATTTGGTCATGGCTCAATCTCTCAATTCACGCAAGTTTATGCTCCAATTGCAGGGCTTCTCTACAGAGTTTATTTATACACTGCAGTGCTCTACTCTACCAAAATATCCAACTAACAGTGAATGGGTGTGAATATGTTTATGCATTTGTTTACAAGAGAACAAACCCAGTGAGCTCTCACCTCCCACAACAGTGTCTAGGGTGTATCATGTGCCCAAGAAATATTTGTGTAATTCCCTGGGGGGGGGGCAATGGCAGCTTTTTACTGAATAGTTAATAGGAATGTGGGGTGAAGTGAATATTTACTGGGCACTTCTTAAGGCTAGTGCTAGAAACCCTTTCGTCTATGGTACTTAACTGACTCAGGAAATGCTGTGTGTCTTAGCCCAGATCCAGATCTTTAACTTTCAGTTGCATAAGATCTCCATGCTTCACATCGCTGGCTCTGGGGAGACAGTCCCTAGAGAATACACCAACCCTGCAGTTTCTCAGAGGTGCTGAGCTGACTTCTGTGCAGCTTATTTCTTTTCACCTTCTTCCTCTGCAGAGCTCTGACCTTCCCACACATTCCACAGCAAATAAACCAGAAAGGGAGTGTGTGTGGGGGTGTTAGATTCACCCTTGGTCTCCGTCTTTTAGGGCCCAATGCAGTGTGGCAAACAGCAGAACTGGATGAAGTCATGTGGAACGGAATACAAATGAATGTTACAATGGCAGGCCCATAACACATATCGGTGCTGAGGGCTCAGTTAGGACACAGGGGATTGGTACCACTGATTTATGAGAGTGTAAGAACATGCGTAGGAGGGAATCTGAGACTGTAGCTTCTACTTTGGCTTAACATATAGGTATTATATCTGTGAATCTGGTTTCTTTACTGTGATGGTTTAGATCAGGAAACGTATCAGCAAAGCCCCAAGTGTGATTGTGGGGTGCTGTTATGATCAGAGGATTCATTCCCTGGTGAGACCAGAGGCTGAAGGTGCTGTAGGAGGTGGGCCTGGTTAGAGCAGGGTCACCAGGGCAGTGACCTGGGAGGTGGCTCTCCTACCCCTGCTCTTCCCTTTTGTCTCTGCTTCCTGACTGTCATGGCATGAGCAGTTCTCCTCCACAGTGCCACCTGCAGTGCCCTTTCCACCTGGGCCAGTGGACCACAGACTGTAAGCACTCGTTAAGTGGTGAACATCAGGCATTGTGTTGCAGTAAAGAGAAAGTGACTACAATGCTTATATTTTAAGATGTGAAAGGGCATTTTATAATCCTGCTAAGAACATTATTCTTAAAAAATAATGAGTCTATTTTCCTGGCATTTGAAGACCTTACCATTTTAACCACTGTTTAGGGCAAAGATAACATACTGAGATCTAAGAAATTTAATGAGAACCTGCACGTGTGGCCCTCTAAATCTATCTGTAGAACATGCTCCTTTTCAAAACTTGTTTTATTTTTGGAACCAGGAAATGAACTCAGGACCTCACGCTGGCCAGGCAGATGCCATGCCACTGAGCTATATACTCTTGGCCCCTTTTTTCAAAACTTCTTATTCAAATGTCAGTTTCTGATGAGACAGCAGGGGCGGGGCAGGGGAGCTGGTGCTTCAAACATTTCTCACAGCAGCAGATTCTGAACAGTAGAAAGTACTTACTGGTTTTCCAGGGGGTCCTTCTGGTCCAGGGAAACCTACATCTCCAACAGGTCCTCTTTCCCCCTATAAACACATCCACAGAAAGATGTAATGGCCAAGGGATGCTTTGAGGCTGAATACAAGTACAGCAGAGGTCCAAGGGTTAGCACAATGACTGGTCACTCACCGGCTCCCCTGGGACTCCCGGAGGTCCTGGGGTACCAGGTTTTCCCTGGGAAAGCAAATTGTAGAGGAAGGTCAGAAGCTAAATTACTGAATGGTGTCACGCACTTTTCCCCTCCCATAAGTCTGAGGTGCCGCCAGGGCAGCGGCTCTCTGGAGTGACATCCCTAACAGGACAGCATCCAGTGTACATACTCTACAGCCCATGAGGCACGCCCAGAGTGCAGTGCTCTGAGTGTATGTCTGCACGGACGGTGGAGGGTTAGGGGCAGCAGATGCTTTTGAAAAGGTTCAACCAATGTATCCACATTGCTGGAAATTCCTCTCCTGCCTTTTTTCCCAGTAGTTCTTTTTTGCTAGCTGGGGAGGAATGGTACAGATAGTCGAAGAGATCTTCCTAGACTGTGAGTTTTATAAAAGAGTTTTTATGTTCATAGTAAGGTAGCTTGAAAAGGCCCTTTTTGCTGAAAAAGAGAGGAAAAGATTTTTTTTTTTTTTTTTTTTTTTCAATACACTGTGGCGTGAAGGACAGCACTAGGGGAGACACCGGAGCAGAGACCACAGGGAAGGATAAGGGAGCGATGATTCAGTAGACGCCGAGGGAGAGAAGCGCTGAAGTGTGTTCAGACCAGGCTTCTGGAAGGAATCACTTCCTACCCTTGGACCTAATAAGGTTGTGAAGCAGATCAGAGGGAGATGCAGTATGGGGTGAGATCCTTAGGAAAAAGAGGACGCTTTGTCCACTTGCTGTGTAAAGTCTGGGGAGTCTCCTGCGGGTACAGATGGCTGCATGGTGAAGTTAAACACGGGGTGGGGGGGGTGCTGAGAGTGCACCCCGGCTCCTTTAGGAGCTCCTGAAGTCTCTGTGGTCCCAGCTGGGGGAGATGTCAGAGCTGAGAAGGCCAGTATGAAAGGAGGCCTGGGATGGGAGATGGGGCAAATGGATGTCTTGGGATACTAAGCCAAGGAACTGGAAAGCAGCGACAGCCACAAAAGTCAGGGGGCTCTGGTAGCAGGCTGGAGGAGAACGCGGTGACAAAGCCCTGCCCACAACTGCCACTGCATTGAATTCCTTCTGTTTACCCACCTGACATCTCAGGAGAGGGGGAGTCCCTGGGCGCCCTTAAATATGCAGGAGAGTTGGTCTGCTCTAGGAGGAGCTGAGCTGGGTCTCCTTGGACCACATCCAACTGAACCTGTGTCCAAGTGGCGTCAGGCTCCACCCCTGCCTGCTCGACTACAACTACCATCTCAATTTTTCATAGTGATAAAACATATATAACACAAAGCCATTTAAATTACTAAGTGTAGAGTTCACCGTCCTGTAACCATTATGACTATTTCTAGAACTATTCAACCATTTTATTTTCTGAGCCACTATAAGGTATGTACAGTTACAGAAATAAAGGAATATTTTAAATTATGCTACATAATTGCAGTGCATAAAAATTTTACCCCTTCCTATTTGTGTCAGTTAGTGTTCTTAATTTTAAGATATGAAAACTGCCTTTTAAATAAATGTGTCAGATGTTAGGTATCCAAATAGATGACAGGTTGGTGCATTTTTCAATCAGACTACATCCCCCTAAAATATCTTTGGAGGTGAGCATGGTGGTGCATGCCTGTAATCTCTGCACTCATGGAGATTGTGGCAGGAGAATCTCAAGCTTGAGTCCAACGTGGGTGACAAAGAGACTTAATGAGACCCTACATCAAAATCTAAAAACTGAAAAATGGGGAAATAGTTCAGTATAACAGCTCTGGGTTCAGTTCTCCCAGTACTGTGTGTGTGTGTGTGTGTGTGTGTGTGTGTGTGTATGTGTGTGTGTGTGTGTGTGTGTGTGTCTTTGTGTGTTGGGGGTGGCATGTGAGTTTGAAATATCTCATTTAGATTGTCTTTGGAGATGGTACCATGTATTTGTAATACTTTATGTGATATGCTGTAATTTTTCTTTGAAGATAGACTTAGTTTAGAGTATCAGCAAAAAGTAATTTACGGTCACACCCTGGTGAATACAATAGGAAATTCAGCTTCACTATAATCCATGGAAGAAAAATAGGATATAAAGAAGAGGAAAACATTATAAAGTGTTCTGAAAGTCATTCCAGAAACAGAGTCCCAAATACATTCCTAGATGTGGTAGTAGAAAGGGGTGAGGAGGGAGGGAACGGGATTAAATGTATTGTTGGTTTTCAAGAGAAATCTCTTTAGTAAAAAAAACTTTGATGTTCTTGTGAAAGATAATAGTTTTGTTTATATAGTTTACTTTTATAGCCACAGATATATTTATCTTTATCCAGACAAGCTAGGTAGTGGGATGTCATTTTCAATAAAAGACACGGAGTATGGATGGAATTTTATCTTTTGTGACCTGACTTGGCAGGTCAGTGCCACGGAGCAGAGTGGCTGCTCCACTGCAGGGGATGAGGGGCAGCTGGGGACTGGGTCTGCAGGTGTGTCTGTAGGTGGGGATTGCGGGGCACTTTCTCATCACTCTCCTGTTCCTGGGACTGAAATACCTAGTTTCCCCTCCCTTTCCTATACCCTCATACCCTCATCCTGGACCTGCCCTGCAGTGCACCTGGCAGGAGGATAAATGTCCTCTTCTTCACTGTGCATGACCACGAAATTTTAATTAGAGTATCCTGGATAAAGATCAGAATGATCCCTAGGGCTCAGAAAAATGATGCCAATCTTTCCTGAAGCCCTTCCTATTCATTTGAAAAGACCTTGATGAGATTAAAACATTTGACATCAGAGAGCAATAAAAGTGATTGAGGGGACCAAGGGCCAGTTTATGAGGTGACATTAACCGCAGTAAAGCTCTGTTAATAGCGCTGGGCTAAGGGGTGGCTCAGGTGGACCACAGCGCCACAGAAGCAACTTGAAGCATGTGCTCAGGGATGAGAGCTCTGCCTTCTGAAGACTGGGAACCTCCAATACAGCACGGATAGGCAAAGAATGCAAGGTTTCAGAGCTGTGCTTGCCTATTAATATGCAGTCATGGGTAGCTGGGTCCCTCCCCCCAACAAAGTGACTTGGAAAGGAAAAAAAAAAAAAAGACAAAAATAAAAGCGAGGTAAGAAGAATAGCATATTCTTGAATTGGGTCGGTGAAGGGGCAGGAACCTAATGTCACATAAGTTACACTGTGATCCCCTGTGCTTCTTGAGGGTTATCATGCAGAAGAAAACATTCACCTACAAAACTAATATATGAACTCACCGATACCCCAGCTATTCCTGGAGGACCTGCTGGGCCTCTATCTCCCTGTTGAGATTAAAATAAAAATGATTACTTAGAATATCTGTATAGCCTTATAAAGCCAATGTTCAAATAATTATGCAGATTTGGTGAAGCTTTTCTTTGGATTGGATAATCTGTCATGAAGCTAGAGGCTATACAGAAAAAAGGAACCAAGGGCCCAAATGAATTCAGTATAACTTTTTCTCCCACAGAAAAATTGCATACATTTCATCTGTGACTTACTTTTTTTTTTTTTTTTTTTTTGTCTTTTTCCTTTTTATCGGTACCGGGGATCGAACTCATGACTGCCTGCTTGCAAGGCAGGCGCTTATGCCGCTGAGCTAAATCCCCAGCCCCGTGACTTACTTTTAATAGGACTCTGCACATATATGTAAAATTAGTCAATTACTATTACTTGGAAGATCAATCACATTTGAGCGTCTTCTAAAAAGCTTTTTTAATATTGGCTTCATTGAATACAGACTGCAAGGATCTAGAGTTAAAGGTTCCAATTCTCCTCATTTGATTAATCAGAATATTCTATTAATTGTTCTGAAAAACAGTGACAACTCCTTTTAAGAGGAAGCGTGGTATTTAGATATAGCTGACCATGCTAAAAATGCTGATGGTTATATATGGGATAATACAATGGCAATTTTGTTGGGCAAGCCCTACCTTAAAAACTTCATAACTTACATAAAAGAGGGCTTGATGAAATGAAGATATACACTATGCTCTTGGAGGACATGACAATGCTGTAAAGGTGTCACTGCCCAACTAATTTATAAACTTAATGCCAATTCTTACAAAATTGCAGTTTGATCAAAACATATTAAAGTTCAACTTGAGATAATGAATCAGAGAGGATAAAAGAAAATAAATAGATATCAGCAATATCAATATTAAACATATAAAGCAAAAGTAACTGAGATGATGGAATGCTGGCATAAAGTTAAGCAGTATATCAATGCAGTAAGATTTAAATCTCAGAGATAGTCCAGCATTCATAATAGGATTTTAGTAAAGAAACAGGGGCATCATTTTACAAACAGGGCTGGTCACCAGATTAACCTCAAAAGTTTGACTCCTGTCTTTACATTCCAGGCAAATTTCATACAGGTTAATGTAAAAAATGAACATAATCTTCATTTTAGATGATTAGCATCCCATCATGCTAGAATGCCCAGGCCATACACCCGGGAATATTTCTAGACTCTGCTCTGCTCACATGTGCTTCCACTGAGTCCCACACCCTTCTGGCATCCCTTCACTCCACTGCCTCCTCTGCTGGTTTTCCCACTGCACTCAGAAACCACAATGGCTCTGCATTTCACTCAGGGAAAGAAAAGTCCCTACAGGGGCCCATGAGCCTCCCTACAAGGCTTCTCACACTACCTTTTTGATGAGAGTTGTTTATTTAGTTATTTTCTAATATATGAACCAACATAAATCTACTGATCACATGCTTGCTAGATAAATCACTGGACAAGTCCTGGCAGCTTACTCCTAGTCTCTGTGCTCACCTTACCGCCAGGGCCCATGACCAAGATCTGCAGACCAGCACTGGTCTCCCAGTGACAACTGAGTAGTATTCTCCTCTCAGCGAGGCTACTCTTCGCTTCTGCCTCTACCTCTCCTACCCCTACCTTCACTCCTCCCCTGGTCTCCTGGGATCTAGCAGAAAATGTCATGTTTTAGGGCCTTCATATCTACTATACCCACTTCCTGGAACTTTTTCAGGGTTCACATCTGAAGGGCCTCCCACATGCTGTGTGCTAGGCAAACGCTCCAGCACTGAGTTAAACCCCCAGGCTTAGAACATTCTTCCTTCAAACTTGATGGGACTTAGCTACATGTCCTTCATCTTCTTCAGGTCATTGCTTAGATCTTGCCTTTGTAGACATCTTCTTTATAATTACAAAACCAACTCTGTCTCTCAAGTACACTTGATCCACCTTAACTTGTTCTTTTTCTTTCTTTCCATAGTATTTATCATGAATATTGCTCGGTTTTTATATTTATTCTTCTAGCTTTTGTATCCTTTTGCTACCTAGAAATTCTGTATGACCAAAGAATTTTGCATATTTTGTTCCCTTATGTATCCTCAGTCTAAAACAGTTCCTAGCATAACAGTAGGAAATTAGTAAACATTTTTGAATGTTATAGTTTAAATCTAAAATGTCCCCTAAAGTCTCATGTATCCAGAGGCAGGGCTTTGGGAAAGTTGTTAGATCATGGGGCACTGTAGTCATCGGGGAATATGTCTACAGATGGGCCCAGTAGCGGAATGTGGCTCAGGAGGTGGGGCTGAGTTGGAGGTTGTCACTGGGGACGCGATCTGGAAGGACGTATTCTTGTCCCTGGATCAGCCTCTCTGTTTCCTGGCCACACAGAGTGAGAAGCTTTCTTCTGCCACAACCTTCCATCAGCCATTGTACTCTGGATGAGCCAACAATAGACTGAAACTTCTGCTACCACGAGCCAAACAAACCTCTCCTTTCGAAAATTGTGGGTGTTGAGTAGTTATCCCAGTGATGAAAAAGTGACTCACACACACCTTGAATGTAAAAACACATTTGTATCTTCTGTGCTTACCTTTATGCCTGGAAATCCTTCTAGTCCTGGCAAGCCCATTGCACCAGGCTCCCCCTGTGAGATATGAACATAGAGAAATGTAGATGAAATGATCAAAAAGTTTTTATATACCAATTTGAACAGCAGATATTTTTTGCCTACCCCACCACCACCGCCTAACTCTCTCCAGCCAAGATCTGTAATTTCACAAGTAAATAGTATTCTCTAGTTTCAAGCAATGTAATATTAGATTTGGAACATGAAAACAGTTTGTGAATAAAGCTGTTCTCAAGAGGTATATTTTTGATAATTTTCTGATTAAGAATGTAATCAGAATGAATCCTTCTAGTCAGTAATAACTCCAATTTCAGTAAGAATTAGAATGGAAGGTTCAGCTTCAATAAGTTTGCCAATTTGCTGGGTACCTGGGACTGCGCAGTGCCAGAGAATAAGACTTGCTCTGTCAGAGTGGGTGAGTGGTGCTGTCAAGGCAGCACTTAGCATCCTGAGTGCTCCCCAAAGCCCAGCACGGGAACCACCCCAGGGGCAGCCTTGGCAGTGACTTTGAAAGTCATCACTCAAACGAATAGCTCACTCATAGGGGATGGACTAGCAGTTTCCATTAAAAAAAAAAAAAAGAACTTTTCCATATTCAGTGTAAGATGTCAGGCTAAGGAGCCTGAGGGTCTTCAGGGAACACGTCCGGAAACACTGTGGGGAGGGAAGCTGCTTCCACTAGGGCTTCCCAATCAAGAAAGAGGTGAATAAAAAAAAAATTTAAAAATTAAAAAGAGATAAAGTGGCAAAGTTGTTTGATACTTTCTTACTGATGAATTAATGTTCACTCCAAATATTCACACTGGATGCTGCAAATGTAATCACACAGGAACCAGAGCTGCCAAATTTGATCCTCTGTAAATGCAGGTTTTGCATATAATTCTAATCTTCAAAAATATTGCTGAGACTCTTTCATTATTGCTTATGATATTTTCCTTATCATAGAAGGAGCCTTCATAAGCAAGCAAATGACTTGGTATTTTCTATGCGTTGGAAATCTTTTAAAGTGCACACTAATATGCAACCTGTCAATCAGAAAAACAAAAATTTAAAAAGATGTTCAGAGTTTATTCTGCACAAGGCCCTGTGAGGGCCCTGAGCTGTCACTCCTGAGTCGCTGTTTACATTCCCAACAGCTCTCAGGATGCCGAAGGTGCCCAATCTATCATTCCATATTTGAAAGTAACTGATAATTAAGTTTTCAATTAAACACCATTGAATTCCAAAGAAAATGGTTTGCTGTAGAAGATGATATATTCAGGTAAGGGTAATTTTCCTCTATAAAGGTTTACTGAACAGACCAGTGTCAGGGAGTTGGAGGACAGTGGAAGGGTCCATTTCCCCTGTCCTCCTCAAAAAGGCTTTTCAGTCTTCTACTCTGGTCCAGCAATTCTCTCACTCCTGGCTAATTTCTGTGGCATGGGCTATCATTTCTCCATTACCAGATAAATGGCGCGGGACAAGAAGTTATAGGGTGGTGCATGTAAAGGACCCAAGAGAGGAATTTCAGTTTCTTTTTCTAGGATAAGCTTGAATGTTGACACAGAATTTAATTTCACGATTCCATCTTTCTCTTTTTTGGGGCTTCATTTAGTTCACATCTCTAAAAACAGAGGAACACATTTGATGCATCTTTAGTCATAATCCTTTGTTTCGTTTGGGAACTGTGCAACTCGAGCTCTTCGAATTCTACTCAAGTATGTCTTCATCTTTGCTGCCAGTCACTTTCTCATATAAGTGAATTATAATTTAACCTTCTTTTTAGTTCTTAGAAAACTTTCTCATCATACCCTGCAAATATTAATGCAAGAACTTGACAGACTGTTCCAAAAAAGGAGTCCAGGTGGACCTACATGACGCAGGGCTGACCTGTGCGTGTAGAGCACGTTGGGACAGGAAAAGTAAAACAACGCTGGACCCTGTCAGCAGTAAAAACTTGCACATGGAGGGTGTGTGGCTAGCAAGGTAAAACTCTACAGTGCATATCTGGGGCTCAGTTGGGCTTCAACTTCCTAACTGGAATAATGCTTTCAGGAGAAAAACACTTGATTTTTAAAATCTATTGCCAAACAAAATATTCGCCCTGTAAGGCCATTTAGGTCTTTTAAAACTAAATGTAAAAATGATATTCCTGGGCTGTTTTAAAATTTAGAGTTTCCCCAACTTGTGCTGTAACAGGGCTTCCCCTTTCCACAAGGTATTGGACAGTGGGGTGGAAGTCTCAGTTTGGGCACACTTGAGGTTGAGGTCTGTACCCAGCGGGTAAAAGGAAACACAAATGGAATAGGAGAGATGGAGCATCTGCCTGAAAAGGACATGACAGAAACGCATACCCAGGATGAAAGGGACTCTAATGGAATCTGGCAGAGCGTTTGCAGCAACAGACCCATGGTTGAGAAAGATGTTGAGAATCACCAGCCTCTGGACACCCGGAGGGAGGGTCTTCCTTGCTGAGTGGGAACTTCCTGCTACTTCCCACCTCGAGAGTGAACTGATGACGGCACTCATCCCTGCAGAGTAACTGCCGAAGATGTTCAAAACAATAAACAGTCCCTTTCTTTTGTTGCTGGGGACACTTGCCTGACATGTGAAGGGATTTCTTTCCAGCAAGTATTTCACTTCCACAATCTACTTAAAATCCAATCAATCATCCAAAGAGGGCTCTTAGAAGAAAGTGCTCCATTTATCAAAGGCATTATATGTGCCTTCTTATATCACAGGAAAATTCTTAAAACACACTGATGGAAGGAGACAAATCTCAAGGGCAGTGACGGTGTCAGAACTAATGCATCTTAAAAATAACACTGCTGGCACTCTGCTCGCCTGCTCATTGGCTCTGATGTTAACTGATGCTTGAGCACCTGGGAGGCGTGGCATCTTTGCCCAATTTCCTAAATGTAAATAAGGACCTAGTCTGAAAACGATGCCATTCATACATACCACTGGGCCAGGATCGCCTTTGGGGCCCTGTAAGAAAAGCATGAGAAGTCTTTTTCAAAATAATGTCTAAAGCAAAATTATAGAACATGAAGCATTTTTGTCAATTTGCTTAAGGGGTATAAAAATATTTGCAGATTTTGCCTTTGCTACAGTTTGGATTTGAAAAATAAGATGCAGAATTCAAAACTTAAAAGAGACTTCAACCATGTAAATGATTGGACACTGATTTAGGTCTTAGATTTTACAATGAAAAATAATATCACTCTTTGGGTGTGTATTGTTTCTTCAATTTGTTATAACTGGTTTCATTTTCTTCTGCTGTAAAATCTGGCTATATTTATAATATGCATTTTTAAATGAATTTAGGAGCTTTCCCCCTTTATTGTGGTTGATGATCAATAGTTATACTCACAGGGGGACCAGGTGGTCCTGGGAAACTGGGAACATTCATGCCTCCCTTAAAAAAGAAAAGAAAGAGGAACAATGAAAAGAACTTATGGCAACCTTTAACTGGTAAATTATTTTAAATAATTACAAATGTAAATACCTGGATTTTATATAAACTGCTCATGCCATTCCCTTCACTGAATGGTATACCCTTAGGAAAGAAATGAGATGAAGGATTACTTTTAAAAAATATAGGAATAATATCATTTGGCAAAATGATAAAAGGTGGAAATGCTGTTTTAGAAAGGAGATTTCATGTGATGGGCAAATAACACAATATTTCTATTTGGAGATTTTTCTAAAGCAGAGGTAGGAAAAGGAGTGTGAGTCACATAAATCACTGCCACTTCCAGCTGGGTTTGACTGATGTTCAGGTCTGGCAGATGAGATACTAATGCATTGGAAGAGGAAATAGTATTTGCTCATTAAAATTCAGTTTGTGAATTGCCAATTTATGCTGTGTGCAGCCTGCTGGCCTGCGGGCTACAACAGGGCAGTGCAGATGAACGTGTGACTAGGGAACAATCTGGCTATTGAAAAGTAATTTTTCCCACAGTCTCTTCATACCAATGGAAAAATTAAGGTAATGGGAAGATGACCATTAATCACATCCTGTGTGGATGTTTCCTATAAAAATGTATTCTTTAGAGCAAAGGGGAAAAAAGACCTTCCTTAAGAAACTGAGAACAGACTATAAAGCACTTGAGTAATCAACACAGAGAACTTATTTTGTAGCTTTAAAAAAACCCTACATTTTAGCATTTAGGAAAATTAGTATACAAGAATTTTAGCGATTTTCCACTGGGGCAGGTATATATTTTGGAATTTAAACTCCAAATACTTTTGTATCTTAGTGCTTCCTTGGCAAGGGATGAGGTAAATAAGAAGATGAAGACGTTTAGGAATACAGAGTGCTAATATGTATGAAAAGTGTGTAACTATGCACCAACACATCTTTGTTTGCAGACAGACTGTGCCCTGTGAGGTAGGGTAGAACAGAACTTCCAGGCCAAACCTCAGCTCGGCAGCTCTGCAGCTCGGCAGCTCTGCTGCAGTGTGAGAGCGGCGCCACTGGAGGGCAGCCTTGCCTCACAGAGAGGCCTTGTCGGCTCCAAGGCCTCCCAGACAGGGTGCAAATTTATCTCAATCCGCAGCATGAATATATCCACGGCTCCTGCGCACTTTGTCACCAGGCGCGGTATAAATAGCATTTCCTTGAAGCTCAGACATCTTGGATGTAAAGGAACACAGAGAATACTATCGAAAGGGATCTCTTTTTAAAGTTCTTTTATTTTCTGTGAATGAGGCTCGCTGACATGAAATGAGGTTCCCACAATCCTCAGGCAGGATGTGGGCAGTCAGGGCCCACCCTCAGGTCCCCTGCACCCACAGCAGGGAGCTCAGCGTGTGCAATTCTGAGCCCTGCTCATGATGGCCGCACCAAAGTGGGAGCAGATCAGGGCCCCCCAGGGCTGTGCTGGCCGCCCTTTGCAGGAATGCACTGAACTCAGAAGCCTTCTACCTGCTAGAGCAGCTAGATAGCTAATAAGGCAAAGGCAAGCACAGGGACGTTAAGTTTTAAACCTAAAACAACTCACAGGTGGTCCCGGGGGTCCAGGTTTCCCAGGAGGTCCCTCGCTGCCCTGCAAGGGACACACATGCCAAAATCAATTGGTTTAGACACTTCTACCTCAGGTTTGCAAACAAGATTGTGGCTGCTGGGAGCCATCTCCTGACGGCAGTACGATCTTTCCTTCTGTCTCAGCCAGGCTCAGCCTTACCCAGCTTGGCTTTCTCCAGGACCCAGGAAAACAGAGTCTACACCCCAGGCATGGTGCATGCCGTACACCCCACACCATCCACATTCTCACCACATAAACTCCAGGGACTGAAGTTTATTTTAAGTGTAGCCAGACAAACAAGATAGTTGCATTTTGGGCTTCGGGGCCACAGAGCACAATTCCTATGACAGGTTGGCTTTGGGATTGTGGCCTCTGGACCAGCCCTCACTTTTAGCCTTACCCTCACCTTCAATTTTGGGGAACAAGTGGCCCCATCTATATGATTTGAACAAAGTAGAAAATAGCAGCCTGTGTTATTAACTCCTCCCATTGCCTATGTTAATATCAGATTTTTTGAGTATGCACATGTCTGTGGAAAGAAGTGACCAGGATGTCACACTCCTCAAGGGAAACGATCTACACAATTGAAGCAGACATAGATTTGCTTCTAGAAGCACTGGATTTGTGACAAACAAATTGAAATTCAAACTTGGAAGTATATTTCACTTCTATTTTTATAAAATATAGTGTTCATTGGTATACCGTAAGCAGTTATTGTAGCTCTTTGGTCTTTAGCTAGTTGTTCCTCTAACTAGTAAGACTTAAAAGATTGTACAAGATCCCTATTTCAGGGGCAATGGCCAGAAATGGCTAATTAAAAAAAGTGCAGGGAGAGCAAAATACTCACAATGCCCAAAATTTTGAGAGATTTCAGTCTGTTTCAAAATTTGATCAACGATTTCATTTCAGTACCCACCTATTTGCCAGTAGCAAAATCATCCTCATCAAATTTGAATGTTTATTTAAACTATAGTTTTTCTTGCAGAATCTGAGAATGGTGACAAGGAACACATGTATCTGTTCCCTAGCTGCTTTGGAGGTGGATATCTCCTGAAAACACATCATATGCTGGCTGTAGACGGTGTACTTCTGAGAATTATGTCATAGTCCCACAAGCCAATAAACAAGGCAGGATATGTGTCCATTGAAAAGGATTTAAGTCACCGTTTCATTCTCATTTCTGCTCCCAAGCTCATCTTAGTTGGAATTTCCATTAACTTCAAAGGCAAGTCTGTAACTGCTTAATTTCTATACATAACAGAGAAAAGAGGCTGGGTGGGGTTGGGTAAGCTCCTTGGATAGTACCAGAAAAAATGTGCCAAGACTATCTCAAATAAACACATTCTTTTCTTCAAATTTGATAGAGATCCTTTTGTTCTTCTGTGCCAATTATACTCAGCATTTTGGGTACAGAACTTGGAGCCTGACAAGAGGGTAGGAGACACTTATAGTGGCTCATTCGGACCATTGAGTCTTCTCCAATCTGAATAGGTAGGAATATTTTACTCATTTGCTGACTCTGTCAATTTAGATCTGAAGTTAGGGAATATGTGAGGTCTTCCTATGTGATAATACGTCCCCTTCTAGTGCTTTCATCCTACGACAGTAAGGAATTTTCCCAAATATTGACCTCCCCAGGAAACAGAATCTCCCCTCTGACCTTCTAGGGACAGCATTTTCAGATTGTCTCAGCAAGCCCTGAGGTTACTGGAGTCCCTCTCTTGAGGGCCAGCAAGGATCCTGGAGCCTCAGCACCTGCTGAGGTCCGCATGTGTGTTTCCCACCCTCCAGTTCATGGGAAGGATCTTAACCTGCAGGCTGACACATCAGGAGGTGATTCAGTCACACAAGCCACACTTGGGAGTGGGATCAACGCCTGTGTAAAAATAGTCTAAGCAAGTTCAGCTGCCCTTGAATATGTGAAGATACAGCTAAAAGGTGCTGTCTATGCTTAAGAAAGTGGCTCCACCAGGTACCAAAGTTGCCTGTGCCTTGAATTTAAACTTTTGTGGAACTATGAGAACTGAGGGTTATGAGTGAACCAGTTTATAGTGCTGTGTTAAGACATCAGAACTCCCTGATCCAAGATGCCCACAAACTCACAGATATGGATACCTAGGTCTCTGAATCCCATTGGGACACTTGCTACAAGCACTGATGTCCTAGTGGCACTTCCGCAGGGGAGCATACCTGTGCTGGTCAGAACAACTGCTAGATCACATCCTCCCAGTCCACTGCAAGAACAGCTGCTCCCTGACATCACTTCTACTTTCAGACTTTTCTTGGTTTTGTGGCTCTCTCAGTAAATGATGTCCTTTTCCCCCAGCCAGAGCCCCAAGTCAGATAGATGGCTGGGGATGTTTTCCCTCTGTACCTTGTCACCCTTTGCTCCCATGGGACCAGGATGTCCAGTTCTTCCTAATAATCCCTGTAAGACAGAAAACTAAGTTTGTTGCAGAAATAACAGCTAAATGGCCAAAAGGTACTGGAAGCTGGTTGCTAAAACTTAACACATCTGAAGGTCACGTGATCCTAATTAAGTCGGTCCTACAAGCTTGTACTGCTTCCGGCTGATACAGCAGCTGTACCCTGCTGATAAGCTCTTGGAAGGGTGAAATTTGTATTTGTAGTTGCTTTTTCACCTTGGCTAACCACATTTAATGACCTTAATTGGAACCTTTTGATACATTTAAGAATCTAGCCTTGCTGTTTAAATGGCAATTTACATAACATTATACCTCCCTAAATGAGCTATAATTTTGGTAGCGATCAACATTTTAAATACTTCAAGACATGGTGGAATCAGTAATGTGCATGTTAAGTTATGTGATCTGTATTTTACCAGTAAAAAATAAACTTTAATTTTAATTCTTCTTTAGGAATAGAGTTGCTATAATTTCTATGGCTCCTTTCACAGCTATTTATAACTTAATTTTAGTATGCAATTTAAAGCCAGGTTTAAAAAAAAGAGAGAAAAAAATAAAACCAGAATGGTTCTATATATAAAGGCATAGTTGGTGAAAATTTAATTATGGCAAATCCATGATTCAAAACATTAAGAACTATGATTATCATCCTATTTGTGTGGTAACAAATTTCTCTTTAAAGGAACTCTAAAAAGAGAAGAGATACATTGAGTCATAAATTGGGTTGCTAGATTTAGCAAGTAAAATCATATTATTCGGGACAAACTTTTGAAAAGTTATTTATTTGAAATTCAAATTAACTGTCTCGGGTTTTTTATTTGGCATCCTACAACTGAACTCAAAGATAATGGGTTTGGCAGGTGTGGAAAGAAAAAAGATTCTACAGTAGTCTTTAGGAAAAGTCTAGACAAAGACACTAGGGCCATGATGGTTTAATGAAAATATAGCAGTTTTAAGCTCATATGTAGGCATAAAAAGAAATTAAATCTGATAATCTTTGACCATGTTTTTACTTCTAGAAAATAAATTCTCAGCTTACTTTTCCATCAGAATATCTTTTCTAAAGGTTAGTGCTAAAACTTATAACTAAAAAATGGAATGCTCTTTGATATCTCATTTCTATTCCAAACAGTAGCTTATCCACTGACTGCTTTCTGGTCTGGAAGAATTCTGTGACAGTGTCCAGCATACTCATCAGCCTTGAGTAATACTAAGTGAAAATACGAGATGTTGATGAGCTACTTTTCTAGGCAACAACTGAGTAACCAATACAGAAGCACAAAGAATAAAAGACAATGAATATTAATACACCTCCAATCATCCCAGCAGATAAGAGCTATAAGCGGAAGTTTAATGACTACTTACAGGGGGCCCAGTTGGGCCTGAGGCACCTGGAACACCTGGAATTCCTTGAGGACCCTACAAGAGATAGGTCTCACCATGAAATCTTCTATAGAGAACAAAACATTTAGTTAATGCAATATTGGTGTTATTGAACAACACAATGTCCTAAATACATATTTTGTGTATCTAAGAAAAATGATGTATACCATGGATAAATACTTATTTCCAAAGAGTAAGGATGATGAGCTAAGATGCCATTCCATGGAATCTATTTGCTGATTCACAGAGCATTCAGATCTTACAGAGCAATAGCATCACTAGGAAGCCCATTCTGCTACAGCACAAAAATACACATTTCAGATTGGCAGAATGCCGTCAGAGAAATATATGAACACATGAAAGCTTCATTGAGCTAAGAAGCTAAGAGAAAAGTGGAATACATTTTATGATACATCTAGTTTAGCTAATCAGTTTTTTATGAGAAGAAATTTGGCTCATTGGTAAATTTAAATTTGCCATCCTTCTATGGTTTATTCATAAAAAAGCTCCCTCCTTCCTTGGGTTTGTAGAATAATGCTAATTATACCAGGCAGGATTTAAAATACTGATACATTTATATATCAAGGTGGAAGATTAACTGTCAATTCTGTTGTGTTATTAACCACCACCAACAGAATATTAATAAATTGCACAAGTCTATAGTACATAACTATCAAAATTACAGTTTAGAAAACTATTGCAAAATATGGAAAAGTAAAAGCCAAAAAATGTTAAAGAGCATACAGTCAAAATTTTGAGTCAACTATAAAAAAAGTTATAGGAAATGATAGGAATGATATACAGGCTTTTACTATCTGGCATGGTAAATGGATATTTAGTTAGAGACTTGTGTCAGGTATGTTTCAGAATTCCACGTTTTCAGACTTTTTACAAAAGCAACACAGTCCACATTCTGAGTATTAAGTAGTATTTTCAGTGCTGCTCACAACCGTGCTTTCTAGTAACTCCACAAATATTTCTGTAGCAAAACATGATATTCTGATAGAGTGAGAAAAGCAGACAGCTCCACATGAGCTCAGGTCAGATTCTTCTGCCACATGAATTTGCTACAAAGCTGGGGAAAACTTCCAGATTTTTCTTTTTTTCTTCAGGTTGTTCTGGTCTTTGGAATTATGGATGAGGGGTTGTGAACACAACCTATTACAGGTTCCTATTACAAGCACTTCTTTGTGGGCAGTGGGAATAGAGGAATGCACTACCTCAGTGCTTCTTGTGTACTTCCCAAATTTTCTATAACAAGCTTAGAACACTTCCTTAACAAATTATAAAGCCCTTTTTTATTTTAGATAAACACACACGACATCAAGTTCTAGAATGACGGGCTCAGTGCCAGAGCACCAGCACATGCAAGGCCCTGGGTTCAACCAAAGTACTACAAGATAAAAAGTTCCAGGTTCTAGATCAAATGCTTCTACTCTTTCAAGATTTAATGTCCTTTTCTGAGTATTCTGCTTACATGGCTGACACACTTTGTTACACGTTTCCTTCCTCTTTTGCTATGAAATATGAATTTATATATAGAGTCCACCCAAAAATGTATACATACTTCTGGAAAAGAACAGTAGTAGGATGATTTTTCAACAGATGGTATTACCCATATGTGCAGAAAACCACTACAGTGCTGGCCCTTAGAGGAGAAATTGAAAATACATGTGCTGCAAAATCAATGATCAAGGCCACCTAAGCAGCAGTTTGCTGCAGTAATAAATGTCTGCAAGCTCACAGCTACCACTCTGGGTACCTCATGTCATTGTAAAGGCAAAAGGTAACCTGTATTAATATCATGTTTCAATAAATTTAGTATTACAATATCTATGCAAGTTTTTCTTTTCCTGAAGTATGTGTACATTTTTGGGTAGACTCTGTATAAATTATAACTATTAAAGTGACCATGGTGAAATACTGCATATTTACTTCTTACATGTTATTTATGGGCATTCTATAGGACTGTGAACTGGATCAAGGTTCCCATGCATGGGTGGGATCAAGGACTAAGCTCAGCCATGTCTGTCCACTCCATGCCAGATGAGATCATAGGTTACTTCATGTTCAAACATGGGATATGGTATAAAGACATGCTGGGAGTAATCTTTAACATGTTGGAATTCATCGTATAGTAAGTGTTGGGTAAAATGTCAGTGTGTGTGTTAAGAAATGCAGACATATTTATTTCAGCTTTATTGGTGGTGCTGTGTGCATAGAGCACCTGCAGACTACATGCATCACAGTGATGTGCTGGATCTCTTTATTTCCCCACCATTAACTTTATGAGTCTATATTTTTATAAACAGAAAAGTTTTTCTTTTAGGAATGGTATTTTAAATGAGTATATTTTATACACATAGTAGTATAAATTTCTTTATCTGAAATACCTACATTTCCATAAAATCTCTCTATATGTACATGTATAAGTTATGCATATATATATGTATTCCTCTTTTTCCTATACTTAGCCTCAGCTCTGAGGCATTCTAGAGATGCTGAGTGAGTTTTTAGGCAGTCTAATTTATAAGCCTGGGACTCATTAACCTTTGATGACCACATTAAACTTTAAAATAAACCTCGGTACATAAATTTAAAAAAAATTCTCAGCAGTCTTTTTCTGAGCAAGCTGAAATTTTGTGGGAAGGGTAAAAGTTATTATGAATGTATAAAGGGCAATAAGATAATTCTAAATGACAAAATGGTCTTAAAGAAGACAAATGCATATTAAAGAGTAAAAGAGTCAATTTAGCATATAGTGCCAAACTAAAATACAAATTAAAATTTATTGCATAGGTATTCAGGTATCATTAGAGCCAAGTGAGTTCTTTGCTTTGATACTGTGATTTTAAAAACTGTGCTTAAACTGCTACTAAGAATATTTGCTTTCTGTTGCTATACTTTATGACTGACAATATGTTCATGTCTTATTTCTCAATCATTACCCTGAAATATTGTAGGCAACCTGTACACTAAGCAAGACTTCACTCTGATTGTAAAAGGCGGGTTGTGTTCTTTAGCAAACTGTCACGTTGAGTGGTATAACACCTATGAAAAGGGTGGCTAGTGGTGCCGCATTTCCAAGAGCAATAACTGAACGGGTTACTCCTCGAAGTTTCCAGATGGGTTAAATTGTAGTTCCTAAAATTAGAAGTCCACAAAGACATAAAAGCTAGGCCCTTTCCATTAAGAGTCAACTGGACATTTGAAATTTTGTAAGATTTGAGATTCGGTATCCATGTTAGAACAATAGTCCAATGGCAAGTTGGAAATGCATGTATTCTGGGTCAAAGTTTTATTCTCTTAAATCAACAAATTGTAACTTGAGGTGGTATTTGGTCCAAGAAGAAGACAAGACTACATTTTCTATTACCAGTATATTTCTCTCAGGTAGCCCGGAGAGTTAATATGTTACTTCGGGTTTATTCACTTACTCAGGTAATTTGAAAAATAAGGGAAAATAATCCCCTTAACTTTGTGGCTTTCTCCTCATGCAGTGGGACTTGTGGGGAGCAGCTGAAACTGGAGAGAGATCACACATGCAAGGCTGGAGCAAGGCCAGCCCCAAGAGCAAAGAGCACCCGAGGCAAACCATGTAAACAAGCTGTTTCAGCTCTGAGAACATGGAAAACCTGAAGCAATCCAAGCAAACAGGTTGCTAGGCAGAGGAGTGTCACGTGACATCAACCTGCAGTGTATAAATAAATGCACTGCAGTAGTTGAGCAGTTCCTTTTCTCTCGTCAGGAGAGAGGGCTCTGCTTGACCTCAGCTTTCTTTTTCTAACTTCTGTCATTATTTTTTCATCCTCCACCATCCTTCATTCTTAAAATTTCGAGAGCTGTGCTGGATGCTGCATGTTGGTGCTTGAACATGGACATGGGGTATGAAGAAACTGCAGGCAAGAAGACACCTCTGAGAGCGTGCACCTAAACCAAAAGAGGCTCAAGATGAGCCTCGGGGAGAGAGGTGTATTGATATTGAGTTCATTAGGTGTAAAACATGGGACAAAAATAGGCTCAGTAGGGCAACAGTTGTAAACAGAAATGCTTGTTGTATTACTGATTTCTGTATTTACTTTTTTGTTATGGACCTGGATTAGAGAGTGTCTTGATGATTGTGTGCTTGTTGAGATGACCATGGAGGATTTGGCTTGGAGCACTATTTTAAAATAAAGTCCCAAGCAGAAAAAAGGTGGCAGAATCCCAGTCCCCTAGAACTTAAACCCTCTAGCTTGATCAATCAGTAAGGAAGGAGCTATGGGGAACACAAAAGAGCCTTCCTCAGTGGAAGAGTGTTCTGCTGTGGCTTCAGTTTCAGCTGCCCAAGGTAAAGTCAAAAGTGTTCACTGAGCCACAAATGGCTACTTGTGCCTTCTCTGTTCAGGAACATTTTGCTGTGTCACAGGGCCAATCTTCCTGAGTTTACCACCATCCCTGCTGCAGAAAGAGGCCACGGCCACAGGCTTGCTGCTCATCCTGGAGATGAAGGGGGTGAAAGCTCAACTGGCCCTTCCTCCCCAGTGCTACAGCACGTCTCCAGATCCCTCGTGAGCCTTAAATTGACTTTGACACTTTAACCTGCTGGCTCACCCATGCCACAGCATGATAGTTATCAGTATTCTTAAGACAAAATACAAAAAAATTAATTATAGATAAAATATTTTGTTTCTTCCAAATTCTTCTAACAGATCTCTGACCAAATTGACTGACAGATTGACTGACCAAATTCTGAGTAGTCGATTTATAATTACAAACTTTTAAAATTTTAATAGGGTTATTATAATTCAATTTGGCCAAAATATATTTGAATATACCTGATATTGTAAACAGATTGTATTGGTTTGTCTGTATGTCATATCTGTGTACAGTTGTTTTTTTATTTGAGTTCAACATTTTTCTTTTGCATTTTTGGATCATTTGTTAAAAATTTAATTTGGGTTATAGATTTAAAAAGCATTCTTCCACCTGGGTTATCAGCCAGTCTATATTTTATCAAAATTGGTTTTTTTCATAGGTCATCAAAATTTAATAAGGTGACTAAATGAGGACCCTTTGGTCTTGGAAAATTATTGCTCAGGACTTCCAGATCTGGTGAATAAAGGAGCTGCTATCTGGGAAAAATTATCCCAGTCTTTGTTCATTAATAGGAAGCCCCAATGATCTCAACAGCCTTATGGGAAAATGCCCAATAAATCTTATTAAAAATATATTATTGTGATATGTTTATATTGGTCATCATCAAAAGGTTAATTTTTCTAAAAATGAGACAATAAGGTTTTCTAAATTATAGATGCTTCAGTACAAAACTAAATTAAAAAACAAGTTTTCATATGGCTATGACAACTGATTATTATTAATCTCATGGGATATCAAATGTATGTATGCTTCCATATGTACAGGTCTTCCAAAATGTAACATGAGGATTGTTTATGGTGCTACATTTTTCTTTCAGATTCAGACATCTGTGTTTAACAAAATTTGTGTGGTATACATCCTGTAAAAGGTAAACAAATTAGATAAAAGCCTCTTATGTACTATACAGGGATGATTGACTAAAAAGGCTATTTTATGTCAAAATGGTGTGTTGTAAAAATATCATGACAGGTGTGTTATAAAATGCCATTATGATTCTCATGTTACAATCATGTGTGCTGTGTAAAACTATACAACTATTATCTGTTAACATCCTACAGAGATTGAACTACTAGAACATCCATGGTTGGTAAGAAATAAAGGTTCTACATTGTATTTCAATGTACTTGGTATTCAGATAAAATTAAATATTAAATCTTACTGCTCACATTACAATGTAATATTATTAACCTTCTCTTCTGGATGTTTAACAACTGAGGTTTGGAACCAAAAAACTAGAAAAAAATAGATGAGCTAGAAGGACATCTAATAGTTTGGCCCTGGCCCTCTGGTCAGTGAGAACCAGGACAGGAGGAAACCTTTTAGTGAAATCTTATAACTCTGATAAGTTATAGAAACTCCTGACAAAGGAAATTGTGGGACCACAGAGAAAAGTGATCAATGATGTATAGTATGCTTATGAAGAGAGAAAAAATAAATTCCAGGAGAAAAAAATAAATTCTCCCAAGCTTTCAAAGAAAGCAGCTTGGTCAAGCAATGGTCACAACTCCCCCAGATGGCTAAGACTTACAGGACTGAGGGGTGCTACACATGGTCACAAGGTAAACCCTGAGGAGAGTTAACTGAACTTGATAGGGAGCAAAAAACTTAATTTTAATTAATATAGATCCCACAATTCTGTCTTAAACAGCAAGCAAAAAAGTATAACTATAAGATACATGAAACAGTGCCATAGTAATATGCTAGTTATAAAGGAAGATCAAATCACCAATATCTGACAATTTCCAGCTACATCAGTAACTGACTACTGTTACGGATTAATGGGCTGTATAGGGTTAAGTTGCTGAATGCAAGACTTCAAATCCTTGGACTGAAAACCTTTAGCCTAAATGATTAAGTTCACTCAAAATAAACAGGATTCAAGAATGGGAGAAAGTTGGACTGGGATATAGCTCAGTGGCATAAGCACTTGCCTGGCAAGTGCAAGGTCCTGAGTTTGATTCCTGATACAAAAAAAAAAAGTGTTTTGCAGAGTCCTCCAAACATAGTCCCTCCAACTTCAACTGACCACCTATCACTTGCAACTACAAAACTGAAAAGGGCAAGATGTGGGGAGTAGTTAAAGCTGGAGATTGACCACATGTGTGGGGCTGAAGTACAGCCAGTCCTGAGAACAAAGAGTATCCAAGATAAGCCACATGAGCAAACTGTTTCAGCAGTGAGGACACACACAGCCCAAGGCAATCCAAACAAACAGATTGTTAGGCAGAAGGGTGTCATGTGACCTCAGCCTGCTGGGTGTATAAATAAATACACCGCAGTTGTTGAGCAGTCCCTTTTCTCCTTTCAGAAGAGAAGGCTCCACTTGACCTCACCTTTCTTTTTTCTAACTCATCTTTATTTCTTCATCCTCCACCATCCTTTAACCAGAAAATTTCGAAAGTTGTGGGAGGGACTTGTGCAAGGTTTTGTGTATTCTAAAAGAAGCCACAAAATATATCTAAGAGAGCACATTAAAATAATAGTAGAGGAATATTAACAATGGATTTCAGTTCACCAAGAGAACAAAGTGAAATCAATTATTATCAATAAATTAACTTCTAAGTGAATTTAACTTAAAATTATTTATAAAAACCTAAACTCTAATTATTTCCTGATCTTTTGGTCATTGATTCTTCAATTGCATTATAGCTTACTTCAGCATTTAAAAGCTGTTGGGACTTTAAAAATCTGTTACTGTAACTGTTCTTTAGCGAAAGCTTCGGTAATATCTGAAACGAAAAGCTTACTAACATTTATTTTGAAAACAAAATGTCTTTAAATGTTTTATTTATAGATAAAAAAAATTCCCTGTTTCTTAACTAGGGAAAAAATCCCAAGCCAAACCTTTAGAACAGAATCAATATAAATTAAAAACTATATTGCAGGATGATAATTCGTAATCTGAAGTGTAACTCCAACAAGAAAAACAGATCTACTTTACACTGTTCTAATTTTCTGCACTAACATCAAGGTTAATATATTCCAGATGGCCTACTTACTTTCATTAAGAACTATTAGTATCAAAACTGTTTAAACTAACAACAATTCATCATTCTAATTGGTTTTTCTAAGCATTAATATGGATCATGCAAGACAAGAAAGATATCCTGAGCATCACTGTGAGTTAAGGGTCAGGAAATTCTCCTGTTATCTCAAAGGCACACTGAGTCCACAGTGCAGGGAGTGAACGGCTGATCTAGATGAGTCCAGTCAGGTCCTTGTGATAGTTTTTCTCCCAAGAGTTTGGGAGTTAAGTAGAGACACAGATAAGCACAGTGATTGATGTTGAGTTGTGCTGGTTGCTGGATCGTGTTGCTGTGACGTTCCTCGAGCGTCCCTTCATGCTCTGCTGCGTCTTCACCCATCCCCTCAATTTTCAGACTACTTTTCCTTTGCCTCCCTTTTATCCTTCTGTCTGCTACATGAAAACAGTAATGCTAAAACATGACTAATATGTTATCTTTCACATTAATTTCCTTATCTCAAAACTGGATCACTGGCAGTAGGCGTGACCATACTATTATTTAAAATGTGTTAACTACTTACTTTGTTTTTATTGGGTTTTAGCATTAAATATGAGCCATTGAAACACTGAGGTCTATCTGCTGTTGAGTCAAGTGGAGAATCAGCCACAGGACTTTATTATCTCACAGAAGAATTTTTTACCTCGTCACCTTTCTCCCCAGGCATTCCAGGGTAGCCTCGCTCTCCTTTGGTTCCCTAAAAAAAGACAGTGAGGTTTAGCTAGTGTGCTCAACCATTGTTATCTTTTGCACAGTGGAAAACATCTATCAGAACACTTGTCATATGCAATTTGGACAGAATCGGGGAACAAAACAACGGTAACATTTCCAAATGGCTTTTTATTCTACTTTCTCAAAATATGCTTTGTAAGAAAGTGATGTATTTTATAATAAGGTTGTCTTTGTTTACATTGAATTGAGAATTCCACAGAGGACTTTCTTACCTTTGGCCCCTCTCTGCCTGGGATTCCTGGAGGACCCCGTGGCCCCATGTCACCCTAGAGGACAGAGAATAATGGCACTCAGAATGCACTCTGTGTGTGTGGGGGGGTGGGCAGCAGTGATCTCATACCTTCCGGGCTAGAGGATCGTACTGTCCAGGCTCCCCTGGGACCCCTTCATCTCCTTTGTTGCTTTTAAGCCCAGGGACGTTGGCGTGGCAGTTGCCGCAGAAATTCTAATGAGTGTAGAGAAGGTTACTGAGCGATTCATAAAAACAATTTAACAAAGAGAGGACTGGTCTGACTTGAATATCTGTTTGAGCTTTTGTTAGAGATGAGTGAAACAGCAATTGTGAGGTCACTGTGTGTGTTCTGAAATTTATTTCTTCAATTTGAAGTGATTACTTTTCAAAGGCAAAAACTATTTGCCAAGCTAATCAATGACATCTGTTGATGATACAAGTGAATTTTTATTTTAAAAAAAGACCTGTGATAATATTTAAATGAAAATGAAAAGTTCCAAATAAATAAGACAAATACCCTTAAATCAGCAACACAGACTGATTTTCCAATTGCTCAGAACTATGTTTAAAGAAGGACATGGTATCAAAGCTTAGAATAACAAGCAAGATTACTGAGGTCCTACGATCAGTAGGATTTCTCCTGTAGGACATAAAATGAGTTGACACACCCCTCACAGTTTATTAACATGTTGTCAGTGGAAGCACTCATGTGAAGAACAGATCCTCCCGTGACTTGGACTTACTTGACTCTGACATCAAATCCAAGGGAAGACAGAAACTCTAAATGCAATCATCTTTCCTGTAACCTTTAGAAGATCTGGAAAGGCTTAAATTTAAGTGTCTGTGAGCTTTTAAAATAAATATAAGTCTTATCACAAAGCCAAGAAACTAGTGTCTGAGGGAAGCCCTTATAGAGGCATATTTTAAATACGTTGTTGGAATAAGAATATGACCTGGAAAGGAGTGGAATGAAGGCCAACGCATGGAGAAGACAGTTGAACTGCTGACACGGGGTTGGATAAGCCTCAATTTTTCATCCTTTTTGGTAAAAGGGAGCATCTTTAAACATGTAGAGGGAACTGAAACTTCCCATTGGTGACACAGCCCGAGCATATGCACATCCAATAGTCTTGATCCAATGAATATCAACACAGGTCTCATGCCCAAAAATATACTCCTTGGAACATTAATTTGCCATGACATTGCAGGACATAAAATGAGTTATGGGACTCATGGGACATTGCAAAGGCTTGGAGGCAAATTGTCTCAAAAATGCTGGAGTAAGCAGTTTCCTTCATGGTGAGCCTTCTTATTAGATTCTGAGTATAAAACAGGGAGCTAGCTGCAATGTTTCCCAAACTGCTTTTAGAAACAGGATCATTTAAAGGGCTGTTGCATTGGTAGAAGAGTTAAAAATATGCATATATACTTATGCAACTACCTCCCTCCCCTCCCTCTATCTATATTATCTATCTATCTATCTATCTATCTATCTATCTATCTATCTATCTATACCATGAAGATAAAAGATAGAGAAATGCCTGTGAGTTTAAGAGAACCAAAAGAGTTTCCATGGTTCAAAAGCTTGAAACAAATGGATTGCATATAGGGACATAAACATAGTATAGCAGAGTAAAACCTTGGTATATCATCCACATGTGGAAATGTTTCAGAATGCATTATTCACTTAGTAGTTTTAATAAAAAAACTAAAAGTGATAATTATTATAACTCAAAAAGAATTTTCCAAGACTCATTGGAAACTAGCCTCATTTTCTTTAGATTAGGTTTACCAGAATGATAAATTAAAGAAAACTGGATTTAATATTTCTTTTTAAGATGACTTAAGGTTTTCTTACATGAAAAGGAAAATGCAGCTACCTGTAGCCCATACACCCTGTCATTCAAAGAGGCAGCCACTCCCAGATTAGTCTAGAAGGAGGCCTGAGGGTTATCATTTGGCCTCAGTTCCTTTTAATATCTGAATCAAAGATAGTGAAAGCAGAAAGCAGGATGATCCAGTTAACTCAGTACTCCAGGGGGAGAGGTCAAGTTAATGTGTTTAGTAACACAATCAGGATAGAATATTACATTAGACCGGACTAACAGACCACCCCCAAATGAAGTTCCTGTGCTTGGGTTTTGGTTTGGGGATTCACATCCTTCTCCCTTATCCTATCTGAAGCCCTGGTTCTTTTTGTAGGGCACATTTTCAGTTTTGTCTCCAGTGGGTGCCATTTCAGATTCCATCAGCACATTTCGGATTATGTGCACAACTTTCAGATCCTTAGAGAATTCGTAACTCCACAATCTTATTTCCAACATTCCTGTCCTTATGAAGATGCAGGATTTAACAATGACTTACATTCTTGTATCAATGTTATATCTATTAACTATGTAGCTGAGCAAGTTACTTAACAGCTTGGAATTTCAGGCTTCTTAGGTACAGGGGAATGCCATGGCAGCTTCAAATTAAAGCATTATTGTGAAGAATAAATGTGATTCAGTATAGCAGTACATTGACTGACATGTAATTGTAACTCAGTAAATACAAACTTTTCCTCAAATCTTCCCAAATAGTCTTTTCTATCTTATAAGAAAATGCTGCATTATGGAGATTTTAAAAACTGTAAAACGTACTTATATTCATATTTAAATTCATGTTTATGTCTATTCTCAAAACTAATCACCTAATAAATACACCCACTAGAATTCTTGAGCTTTTGATTGATTTAATATTTCTGCATGCCTACTGCACAAGTCTTACGAAAATCATTGGCTATATACACAGCTATAGTTAAGTATGTATACACTGTCCATCATAACTCATATAAACATAATGTATATAAGTGTATAAGCATAAAGTAAAGCTCTAGATTTTCATCGGGATTCATCAATCCTAACGTACTACATAAAAACATACAAATGTATAACCTTCGCCATCCATTATCAGACCCTCAATCTCACTAGAAATTCTTCTATTCAAATGGGTAAAATACAACAAAGTATCAGAAAATCATAGCAAGATTCATTTTTTGAGATAGGCAGATATAATTTTCATTTCACAAAGTGATAGGCATTATAGTTATTATTGGCTTTGGAATTTTAGTTTTGTAAAATCCCATGGCATGAAAAGCCCTACCTTGTAACTCATTGTTTGGGCAGCCCTGGGGTTCACCCCTGGACTGGCCAGGACTGATCACCGTGAGGACTAGTGAGTGACGTACAGTAGTGTCAGGGTGGTAAACACCCAGCAAGAGCAAGCTGCTGTTCCGGGGGAAAGGAGGAATCATCTACGCTAGGGTGTGAAGGCACTGTTCCTGCCAGTGCCCTTCTCAGAGTCACCCCCTCACCTCCACACCCACCCTGGTTAAAGTGGGAGAAGAGGAAACAGTGTAAGTAGGGTAAGTAGACACATTGTGTCGTGTGTTCTTTTGCCATCTCAAATATGTCAGGAGTCGTTCAGGATAAGTGATTAACTCAATTCCTCGTAAAGATTTCCTTTCTGATCTTTCCTGGACATTAATCTATGATTTCTTACGTAACAGTACCTTGAACAAGGCACCAATGTCTCCCAAGAGAGGCAGCGCAATCTGTGGTTAAGGAAAAAAAACATGGATAAACACATAGGCAGAATACACAAAACAGTGAAGATGTTTCCCCTCAAAATGCCATGCCATTTGCAATTTGGAAAACAAGGCTTCTAGAGTTTCACCATTACTAGGGTAATGTTATGTTTTGTGTCAGAAGCTGACACAGAGCACCTACAGAATTCAGAATTACTTTATGGGTCACTCACTGTGCTTACAGCATGAACACACAAGCTCACATGTGTCATTGTTTTGACTCTACATCTATATTTTCATGGCATGGAAACCATTATGCTTTCTCTCCTATATTACTGGTTTTGAGTAATAAAGATAAGCCCTTTATTAAAAGGAAATCACTTCACTGACAAGCACATTATCAGGCTGCTGGGAAATATGAAGCTTACATGAGAAGTTTGCCTTGAAATTGGTTCTCACAGAAGGTCCAAGAACTTTAAACTGGCTTAAACGTTGGACAAGAAGGCAGTGAGGGAAGTTGGTCTGTATTTGTGACACACACTGTAAAGTGTCCTTGCAGAGAGAGACAAGTAACACTTTCCAATGTTTGCAAATGATGCACACAGGAATGTCAGCAATGGGGTTGAGTAAGTGTGGCCAGAAAATGCCTTTCTTTGCATGGATTTTACAAAGGCACATCATGCCTGAACGTGTGGGAGGCAGAAAGGATTTGTGGCATGTAGAACTGAGGGACTAGATTTGGATTTCATTTTGCAAAACTCTTAATACAATGCCACGTTCCATATGGCCTCTCCAATTATAACTACCGAAGCAGTGGCTATTTAAAGTTATTTCACTGTCACTCAAAGCAAGGTTGAATCTAAAATAAAACTTGGAACACACGATTACTGCCTAAATTCATTTTCTGAGAGCCTACTCAAGCTAGTTTTTATAATTTAATCATCACAGCTTTTTAAATTCACGGAATCAATGGATATTTGCTGTATTGTAGGTAATTTACCTGCAAACTTTCACTTGGAAAAGTGAAACTCATCGAATCACTAGCATTAGAAAGAACAGAAACCGAGAGCTACATATTTCATCTCAATTTTCCATGGAACTGAGACATTATATGCTAGGACTTGGCCTGGGGCAAAATTGTACAGTTGAATTATAGCCTTAGAAAATAAGTATTCGCCACAAATGCCAAAATGCTGATGCAGCTTAAATTTTTTCCCCTCTACAAAACAATGGGGATAAACAAAATCAACAAGCAGTCACTGAGCATTCTAATTAGTTGGGACAGCAAAATTTGCTTGCTAGGCCTTTTGGCTTCTAGGTGCATTAAAGATACATAAATCAGGTGATTTATGTCTACATACCGGGTCACCTGGGGGGCCTGGCAGGCCTGGCTTTCCATCCCTCCCTGGAGCTCCCTGAAAACAGAAACATCATGTTTAAATCCTTAAAAGATGATGTAGGTGCAGATTAAAGTGAATGTAAGGTAGAGTAGATAAAGAAGGTCCTCACGTCATTCCCTGGAGTTCCTGGCAATCCAGGAAGACCCCGGGGACCCTGGAAAGGGAAAAAGATGAAAATAATTATGGGTACAGTCTTTCACTAATTTCCCCTTCACTAATTTCCAAGTAGACAAGCTAGATTTGTTGTTCTGAATAAATCACTTAAGTAGTTTACCTGAACACCTGGCTCTCCAGCTGGACCTTGGGAGCCCTGGATAAAATGAGACACAGTCATCAGAATTCTGCCAGCAATGTTCATTATCTATCCACCTGAGGCAAATGACTAAGTGTCGTAATTTGCTCAGTGGAACAACAAGATTTTCCACCATACATATTCTGAATATTCCCTAAAGGTAGCCATAACTTCAGGGTGCTAAGTAATTCCTTAACCCAACACCTGTTGCTGGAAGCATCATAGTTTTGCTGACTCTCTTTCCGTCACATATGGCTGCCCACTTGTAGGAGTTTAAACAATGCATACAAATTCCATCCGATCAGAAACTTACTACTCATTGGAGTAGCTGGCTTATGGCTTCCTTTCTTTGCTTCTGTCTACTCTGAGTTACTTCTCACTTTGAAGAAAGAGATGGCACCTTTGTTTAGTGACAGGAGTAGGAAGTCAAGCATCAGTTATTTTCTGCCTCCAGAAAATTTGAATTTGGAGTACTAAAAACAAGACTGAGATGATTTGTGAACACTAATGCCATTAGCTCTGTCCTCATCACATATCCTCCCTGGACCACTGAAACAGGAATTTAAAACCTGATCAAGTCAAGACCTGCTTTTTGGCAGGCAACTTTGGTAACTGCTCACTGATTTTCCTTTCTCATTTTTAAAATAAATATTCCTGGAAGTGATATCGTCAAAGTCTTTGCTCCCTTTCTACCTATACGGCACCACTGAGTTTTTCTTTAAGCTCATTACTTCCTCTGTAAATTCCTAATAACATTTTTTAGTTTCTAAAATTTTCTGTCTCTAATGGTCTCTTATATTTTAGCTGCTGTGGTTTCCATGTGTCCTCCTAGAGTTCATGTGTTAGATGACTGATACTCAAGTTCCTATGTTCATAGTATATGGAGGTGAGAGCTTTCAGAGTCAGTGAGGTCCTGACAGTGAGATTCCACTGATGGCATTACACAAAGAGGAAAAGAAGCTGCGATAGCAAGGGGCCAGCTACGCTTACCATGTGATGCCTACCGATGTGGATGTGTCATGTTGCAGGAAGAAGGCCCTCACCAGGTGCTGTGCCATGCCCTGGAACTCCCCAGCCTCCAGGACCATGAACCACATGCACCTTTATCCTTTATATTACCCAGTTTCAGTATTCCATTGTTGCAACTGAAAATGAACTGAAACATTCGCCCTGAAAAAATCACATGCCAGTCACAAGCAACATAGTCAGTGATAACTTGTGCTTTTATTTTTTTTAACTTTCATGATCACTTTGGCACAAGTCTGTGACATAGGGATATAAAAAACAAATTTAGTCTCTAGAGGCTCTTGGTTTCTGTCGCAGAGCTCTCCAGATCCCTGTAATTTCCTTTGCAATAGGATTGTCAGGAGAAATGTTTTCTAATATTTGGTCTTTATTTCTGGTTCCTGACACAGAACTCCTAGTGTCTTGCTATTTCCTAGCTAATAGGAATGCTTTTTGTTCTAATGAGGTGACTATTTACACATACTCCATCTACATAAAATATTAACTTAGTTTACTTTAATTAGAAATAAGCACTTACATTTAATAATTTTATATTAGGTATTCATAACATCTTGCAAGCGTTTGTATTTTTTTGCATACATAGACATAAAATGGTGGAATGATTGCTTGTAATCTAAAGCCAGCGTGCCTGTGACCAGAATCTATAAGTCAGTAACCAAGGACTCTACTGTGTGCGCTTAGTGACGAGGCCTTATAACCATTGGTCGCCTTAGATTAGTGTTTATGGCATTTTTGCCTTTGGTCTTTTTATTCTTTCTCCTTATGAAGACTCATCATTGAATCTTGCTTCATAATATTGGAATCAACAATGTTTTGAGAACTAGAATGGATTTCACTTACCATTCTGCCTGGAATCCCTATCCCTGGTGGACCTGTGTCACCTGGGGAACCCTGGACACCAGGCAGTCCTCTCTCGCCCTGAGAAATGAGGTGTTTCTGTTAGTGGGAGGTTCATGAGACACAGGTCATTCTGTTATATTTTGTTAGCTATTCATTTGTTCCAAATTAGCTGTTTTTTTATACCTTTGGCCCACGTGGACCAGGTGCTCCAGGATTTCCATCTAAACCCTGTAAGAAAACAAAAAGCAAAAACAAAAAACTGAGGTAAATGTATTTCTTTTCCTAAAACATTAAAAATATCTAATGAGTCATATTTTAAATAGAATAAGGAACAAATTTCTGTAGGTTATACATTTAATAGTTACTTTAAAATATGAAGTTTCTAGCTGTAAGATGAGCATCTGTCATTGAGAACTATTATAATTAATTCATGTAAAAGATTCACGTTCCAAGGCAAGGTGAAAGAAGGTATGAGGAATAAGCATGTGACCCTGGAGATCCAGTTTCTACATCCTGGGAAAAGCCCAGATCCTAGTGACAGGTTTTGTAAATGACAACCTATGGCAACCTCTGCAAAGCCAACTGGAATGGAAGTGTCAGGCCGTTCTGCTTTAAAGCAGTTTCTGGAAACACTTTGGATTTAAAACCTGTGTGCTGGGATCCAAATTTCCAGAAGAAATCTCTGCACAGGATTCAGGGAGCTTATGACTCTTCCAAAATAACAAGCAAAATGTGGAGTGCATATGTCTTTCAGAAGAGAACCTTTTGCTTGCATTAAAGTTTCAAGGTGGTTACACCTCTCATCTACAGAATAGGCCATTGTTTGACAGGGCGGGGCTTATACTTGTGCTTTGAAACAGGGATCCCACAAAGAGTTACAACTGAACGTTCAAGGGAAATATTTGTACTTACTGGTTCTCCTGGCAGGCTCTTCCCTGGGGGACCGGACTCACCCTTTGGACCTGGAAGTCCTGGAGGGCCTATAATGCCGCCTGGATCTCCCTGAAGAGAACATGGTGAGATTCTTGCTTATTGTGCAGGACCATGACAAGAAGCGGGGAGATGGTGGCCTCTGTTTCCACTTGTCATCATAGCTAATCAAATCCACTTACTCACTCTCTCAGTTTACTAAGTTCCTAATTTGTAGAAGGCATTGTTCTGTTTAAATACACTTAGCTTTTTGCAGCAAGGAATGTCATAAGTTAGACAGTATCATGAAACATACACGTATGTAAGTATAGGCACAAGAAGGCCTATTTGGCATAAAATTCTGATGAACTTTATGATTATATATATATCCTAATAGTAATTCAATATTAGTATGGTATTTCCACGGAAATATCAAGAAACAGCTTCTGGAAGAATAAGGGGCTTCCTAGGTTTGTAGCAGTAGGTGGCTGAGTTTGACACAAAGTCTGGGGCTTACATCTTCCTCTCTAAGTGAGTTTGTTAGGTCAGATGGCATCTGTGCACCCAAACCAGGGTTGCTGCCATCACAGCCCTGGGGGGCCCCTCCTATATGGTCCTTTCACAGCTTTGAGTCCCTCAGACCCTCCATCTCCTTCTCCTACCTACCTCTTTAATATACAAAGTCAATAAAATGTGGACCATACCTTTTCTCCTTTAAGGCCTTGCTTCCCTGGGACACCATGTTCTCCTGGCAAGCCCTAGAAAATTCAGAACCAAATAAGAAGAGCAATCAGCATATCTCCTATGATAACGACATATATATCTGTGAATCTCTGGTATCAGAAAATAATTTTAACATATAATCTATAATGAAATGGGTTCAGTTTATCCTGTTAGGGAAAAGGAATAATTCAAAGCATGAGGCTTGTTTCTATGAGGTCATCTGGATATCATGTGAAAAAAACCTGACGTGAACCAAAAAGGAGAATCACAGCAGGGTCTCTTTCAAGTTATTGGCAAGAAGAGATGGAACGGTAGTAACGGCATCATCGTGACCAGGAAATAACAACATGGTGACTAGGAAAACAAGTTTTTACTATGTCTGGGCAACAGTGGCTCATTCCTTTTGATTTTATTCTCGTTTTAGCCCCAGCCACTATTTCTTAATCTTACTCTTTGAATATCTTGTGGCTCCACGTGTGCATCCAGCATTTTCCCTCTTTCCTAAGGTCTTCCCGTCAGGCAGCCCTGCGATGCTCCATTAATTAGCAGGGATGACTGGGGAATGAAAAAAGGTTTGCTATGAACCAGAGGTTCAAAACACCAAGAAGGTGAGTACTGAATAGTAGACACCAGAGGCTCAGGCAGGAGGCATGGAAGGCAGAGAAAGAGGTCACAGGGCTGCTCACAAGATGATGGGAAAAGGAAAGATTCTACTGAGGGGGCCTCCAGGGAACCCTGCGGTCCAGTAGCAATCTGTTTCTAAGCAGGTATGACTGAGTAGTTATGTCATTTTCTCAAGTGTGGGCTGATGGTGAGCTCTCAGCGCTCTCTCTTGTCAGATTAGGGAGGCTGTCCCTGGGACCAAGTGTTGAGGAGGGCTAAGAAGTGCTTTTATAAAGCATGGCTATGAGAGAGAGAGAGAGAGAGAGAGAGAGAGAGAGAGAGAGAGAGAGAGAGAGAAAGAAAGACAGACAGACAAACTAGAAGAACAGAAGATACTTTCAGCCAAAGAACTTGCTTTCTGAGGAAAGTTCTTGCTAAAAAATAGCTTTTGAAATATTCTCCTTTCATGGAGCTTTGAACCCAAAGCCTTATGTATTAGAAATGCTTGCTTTTCCTCTTGGTTGTCTTTGTTTTCTTTCCATGATTCTGGTCTCCTCTATTGTAGGTACAAATAATGCTGGCAAGCATGTCAAAAATGATAATTAAGGCAACTCGTGTTTCAAAGATCAATGTGCCAGGCTACTGATACTCCAGAGCTCCTCACAGGAGGCTCTGGGGAGAGACTGGCTTTTTCAACAGCCTCTGATGGGAGCTGCAACCAGTTTCAGTGGTCTAAGTGACCCACGTCTTTGAGAAATTTAGCAAAGCTCAGTTATAGAAAAAGATGTGGATATTATTTTAAACATATTTTCGATCTCATTTCAAAATATCGAAGACACTATACATACGACATCTCCTGGTGGTCCTCTGGGCCCCATGGAACCTGCAGGTCCTTGCTGACCCTAAACCAAGTGATGACATATGCTTTTTAAGTTTTTAAAAATAGACTATACTTGAGTATTTATAAACTGCTTTACCCATTGCCTGGACACCCTCTCATCTCTCCTACGCTTTCCTAAACTTCTCTATAGGGACATTTTTGCAGAATTGCACCTGGGAAACACAGGTGCCTCAGGGCTGCTTACTTGTGGTATAGAAAAAGAATCCCAAATCCTATTCCTTTTTAGAAAATAGCTCAAAGTCATATATCTAGCTGATGTTTATTCTTAAAACTTTTAGGGATACTATTGTGAACATACTCTGAGAAACAATTTTAAAATCCTATTGTGAACCAAAACACTGCAATTACTATGTGTGTAATAAATGCATCCAGCATGTACACATGTGGCAGGGTTGGGGGAGGTGTATCTATGGAAACAAGATAAATCTCAGAACATCTGGGGGAAAATACTGGCAACAGCAATGCATCTTTAAAAATACAGAATGACCATGATTCCCAAATTATTCCCTAATATATCTTAGTAACTTCCTAGATACCTTCAGTCCTGGGCTTCCTATTAAACCAGGTGGACCAGGGTCTCCAGGTTCGCCCTAAACATATGAGTGAGGAAGAAAATTAAATGTTACCGTAACTTTTTCAATTTCATTAAGGCTGTAGATGCAATTGAAAAATGCCAAAAGATTACCTTTATTCCCTGCGATCCCATTATCCCAGGTTCTCCCTGTAAATAAAAAATTGCCATATGGGTAACACATAAATTCAGATGGCATGGAGAGTCTGATACTTTAATTGCATTTCATTGATTAACATATAACAAAGGGGAAAATTACGGAAGAGATGATGAAATCAAGGAACGTTCATTCTAAACCATGAATCAAAACACTTAAAGCTGCTATATAAGTAATACTTATTTCCTTTCTTTCTAGTTTTTTTCCCCATAGCATTTTTTACATCATTTTGTATTAGCAATCACTACATTCTCTGTTCAGCAGACACAATAGTTATGATTTGCCATCAGCTACAGTAAGTCTCCAAACATGTGAGCAGCAAACTTTCATGGTGTACTGTGTAAAACTCACTTCGTCAAATTATGAATACATCTAACTCACCAATATTCTCAAGGAAGGGAACTCATTCGTGAGTCAGGGATTCATTATAATCTTATTTCCCAGATAAATAAAACTTCAGAGGAGACTTTCAGGTGATATGTGTTGGTGATTCTACTATCTGGTGCTATACATGTACTTCATTTATATAAAGAACAGAAAAAAGTAAGATTCTATAAAGAGGACAGCACTGCCTATAATGAGTTTTCATGACTCATTAATCTGTTGGATAAATCTAATCTGTATCATTAGCATGAGTTTCAGAATAACTGTATCTCCTATTTTAATTCTGCAGTTTAGATATCCTAAGTGGATGTCTTTTCTAGCATTAGTGTGCAATCACTAGTGGAAACGGTTAAAGGAAGCATTAGTAAGTCAAACCAATGTTAAAATACCATCACATGATAGCATTTAGCAAGGTTTAAAGCAGAAGAGTAAAAATGTCACAGAAGAAAAACTAAATATTCAGGAAGCTTATTTTATAAAATCTATTAGGCTCTAAGGTCAACACCAGAAATCAGACAGAGAAAGCGATGAAGTGGAGAAGCCAAGACAGTGATAAAACATCTACTTACCCTGTCTCCCTTTTCACCTTTTATAAAAGGTTCCCCCTAGGGAAGTGGGTAAAAAAAAACAGAATCAATTATAAACCGTTTTAGAACTAAACTCTCCAAAGCTGGGTGTGGATAAATCTTGCAGGCTGGAACTAGATCACAACTGTACATAGTCTGCTTTTGTAGCTACAGCTGAAAGGGAGTGTGTAATAATTAATTTACAAATTCCTTTGTATTTCCAAATGAACACTGAGTTAATTATCTAATACTATTTGGAGAATCCTGAGCAAGTTGACATGCTGGCCCATGGCTAAGGCTTCCTACTGTCTGATGAAGATGAATGATCATATACAAAGATGCTATCAGGGAAATACCAGGCTGACAGCAATGAAATGTTAAATGGAAAGGCATCCACTGAGTTCTTCAGGTGGGCTACATATATCCTACACATACAAAATCATTAATCAAAGAGTGCTTTTCTAATTTTCATTTTTACCTTAATAAAAATGACTTGAAGGAGCTAATTACTGAGTAACAGAGCATGTATTATAATTGGCTCTTACTGGGAGACATGGCAGTTTTGGGGGACAGCACTTATGAACCAGGTTCTGATTATCACCATTATTTCTACCACAACCCAGCCTCCCCACACATGCATGTGCAGGCTTTCTCTTCCTAGCTTCTCCACGTTACATGTACATTGTTTAAATTAATCTTCAAAAGATATTATGGTCCAATTTTACTGATGAAGAAAGAGATGCAGAAAGGTTAAAGCAATGGCTCTCTTTGCTTTAAAGTAGCATCCACCACACCTCATATTTCCTTATTTATCTCGGCTAAAACCTCTGTGAGTGTAGGCATGAAATTCATTTTCCAATCCCAGCATCTCTTGTGTCTCAGACATTCACATTCTTGATGTCTAATTAAAGTTTATTAAATTAGTTAATTTAAAGCCATGTAGATAAATAACAATAGTTAAGATTTATCGAATTCTTGACAATGTGTCAATTGCTGTTCTAATCATTTTACATATATTAACATAGCTAACCCTCAGGTAACAGTGGGGTTGGTGCTGTGTACGAGGAGAAAACAGGCATAGAGACATTGAATGATTTCCCTAAGTGCTGTCCATAGGGGCATATGCCTGTAATCCTAGCCCTGTGGGAAGCTGAGGCAAGAGATTACAATTTTAATTACAATCTAGGAAATTTAACCCTGTGTGTGGGGGGGGGCGCTGGGGGAACAGGGCCAAGGATGTAGCTCTGTGCAAAGGCTGTGGATTCAATCCCTACTATTGTATTTTTGTTTTCCTCTTAGGAAGGACTGCTATTTGCTTTAGCAGACTGCTTGTGGGAGGTGAGTAGTTGCTAAAGGGGTTTCTGTGCTTTTTACCACATGACCTATTTATCAGGAAAGGTGGGTTGAACCTTCCCCTCCCACATTTCCCAGGTCTCTTGCAGTTACACAGGGCCATGGAGCTAATTCTGACAATGCAATGTCACCAGAAATGACATGTGATAGTTGCAAGCTGAGTTATGTGGCCCTACTGCCCCACAGTAGTAACTCAGAGTGTTCTGTTCACCAGATGACACAGCTATGCAACTGTAATCAGTCTGAGAATGGTCCCTCCCAACTGAACCATGCCTGGCATGCAGCATGAGCAAGAGATGACTCTTCTTGGGTGCTGAGAAGAAATTTTAGGGTTAAATTGTGAATCAGCATAACCTCACCTACACTGACCCATGTACTGCATATCTACCCAACATGATTTAGTCTTCTATTGTTGGTTAATTTCTCTATATATTAGATTAGGGCTTTATATTTTTGTTTTCCAGGATTCATCCTAAACATCTATTTAATTTTTAAGATTCAAGCTAATGTTAATTGGATGTGAATAATGGGCCACATTACTTATATGCTACTTATTTCTGCTTCTATTATACACTTGTGCCATTGCTTGCTTTGTCTGGGTCACCGTAAAGGTCAAAATCCATATCAACTAAAACAGTTTGTAAAAGAAAAATTCTGTTGTCCTTTTGTATATATTTTGTTCAAGGTCCAGTGGTTACTCTCTGGGACAAGTCACTTAAATTTTTAGAGATGCCTTTTCTTGATTTCATAAAATCAGGGGGTTCGACTACATGATCTCTAAGTATATTTTAGCTATGTTGCACACCTAGTCATGGTCTAAATGTCCAGCAGCTGGGGACAAACTATCATTTTAGAGTTGCCATGTAGGATCAGTAATTCAGATTTCAACTTTGGATGGTGACTACTCTTCTGTTTTGGCTTCTTCTTACTATGCAAAGCTCAGCATGGATACTGTTCGGGGGTAGAAAGGTTAATATCACACAGAGCAAACTACTCTGCACAAGAACATAAATTTTGTGGTTTTACATATGAAGGTGGAGAAGGAAGGCAATCGAATAGGTGTAGAGAAGGTGGGCAATTAAAAGATGAAGATGGAATTGCCACAGAGACGAATTAGGAGGAACCACCCCATTTCTTTCTCTAGGGTAAGGAAGACTGGCTAAGGTCATGCCAACACAGTAGGCTGGCAACCCCTGAATATTGGCAGTGGGAGAGACGTAGGAAGGGAAAAGCCTCTCATTCCTAGGAACGATGAAATCCTCCAGCTCTTCCTTTGCAGCACATAGTCTGTAGCACCATCTTTGCTTGGGGGCTGGTAAGAAATGCCAGCTTTCACATTGCACCCAGACCTACTGAACTAGAATCCACCAGACCTGGGCACAGGCTTACATTTGACAAGCACTGTTCTAACTCACAGAAAGCTTCTAGTTTCTGCTCTACGACTCCCTGTTCTTCCAATGAAATCTTACTGCCAAATCCTCCCTGCTTCCCCCAGAAGTTAAGAGAAAGTAAGCAGGTAGCTATCAGGGTTTAGGCTGGGAGGCAACACCATGGAGACCTAGAGTCATATCTAGAAGATAGCAGGGAGCTCTTCTACCAGGAGAAACCTCTTTCACCAGATGGAAAAGGCAGCAACCATTGGACAGTACTTCCAGGATGTTCCTGAGAACACAGCTGGGGAATGCTGTGGAAGACTTTAGATCCTGGTCATGGTCAGAGACTTGGATTGGAGACTCAGCACGTGTGGCCCTTGCAGCTAAAACAATGGAGGGGCACAGGTGTAGTCCTGTGCTGATTTTAAAACTGCTTGAGGAGAACCACTGCCATTGGGAAAAATGCCCAAGTACTGAAGCTAAAGTTGTGGGAAATTTGACTTTGTGACATTCATGCTTTCACCATCGTTTGTGTTTGCCATTGAAGCATCAGTGACTTGCTCCATTCTTTATGTCCCCATGAACCAACAGCCCTAATTCACCCTGGCAAGGAAATAGGTAAAAGTGACTGAAAAGATGTATCACATTTTTAAAAAACCAAAGATGAAATATATGCTAAGCTTGATTTTGCTGATTCTAGGAAGCTGCTGTTTCTTTTTTCTCATGAACAGCATTAAATAAAAAGTCATTTTTTTTGTAAATTGGCTTTCTTAGTCTCGTTAGGTAGCCCTATTTGAATATCAATGATACAGTAGATTTTATATTTTCTTTTTCTGCACCCAAAGAACTAAGTTTTAAAAGCAGTTTGGCACAAGACTATTGAAAAGTGGCCTGGGAATTCACTTGGCTCTTACAAAAAACAAACCAGAAAATAACTTCAGAAAGTGAACTGAGAGCAGTTGTTTGGGAAGATTATACATTTTTGCTAATTTTAAGATAGATTCATACCAGTGTCCTGTTAAGTTTGTTGTTCATTTCAGATGTGGCATTTAGTTAGAGCAGGTTGGCTTAATGTATGATGCATGGCTCAAAAACTTACTGGCCACGGACAAGTGGCATAACGTCTCATCCCTCACTTTTCTCCTCTGGGGAACAGGAGTGAAAAAGTTCTACTTTATGGAATTCTTGGTGGGTTAAATTAGTTAATACAGGTAAAGCCCTGGTTTTGGACACAGTATACCCTTAGAAATGTGGTCTAGGTGCAATCTGACAAGGTCGTCCAAGGCATATGAAATTGAGGTTGATGTGGAAAACCATTTTAATTTTTTATTTTTTGGACTGTCTCTGCCCTCAAAGCTAAAATACTTACAGGTTCTCCTTTTTGTCGTTTAGGGCCAAAAGACTCTGGAAATACTGACAGTCCAGTTTCACCCTGGTAAGAAAAAGCAGACAGGAGATTTTGAAGGAGGTTTGAGAGATGCCGTGTGACCATCCAGTCCGAAGTGCGGGCTTCCCTTCTAGCCACAGACGTGTTGTCTAGTGTCTAAGACTCATTGCAGAGCATCTAGCCAGGCTATTTGCATAATAATATGTTGTTCGCACTTTCCAATGCCTGCAGGTCTTGTAGAAATCTATTGCATTAAATCATGATAGTTAAAGTTAATGTGAAACAATGCTAATTAATTGTCAAGGGAAGAACATCTAGAAAAGAAAATGTTCTGATATTAAAAAAAAATCAGACTCCTGTCGGGTACTTCTTTTTGTAGGCCACAGCAGCTTAGCAGTGTCTGAGATATTTTGGTCGGAAACTTTTTTTCCTGTTTTTTTGTTTTGTTTTGTTTTGTCTGGACCTGGGGATCAAACTTCTGATCTTGCACTTGCCAGACAGGCACTTGTGTCACTGAGCTATATACTGGGCCCTGGTCAAAAATCTTGAAGAGGGATTTCTTTGTGATACAGGTATAATATTTTCAGAAAATATAGTTTGAGGATTCTATTGCTAATTGGACTCCAGAGAAGCCCCAGAACTATGCTTTCTTTCAGCGTTTACCGAGATCATCAAATAACCCCTACTTCTTAAATTGAACACAGCTATCAACAGATACATAACTGTGCTTTTTTTCTCCCTGCCAAAGGGCATTTTTGTAAAATGATATTCGCCACTGTACTTCTGGGGATTTTTCTTCCTTGCCTATCTTATCTTTATTTTAAAAGCACAGTAAACAAAATATAATTACAGCAAACCTTCATGAGTACCAAGCACTCGAAATAAAATAAATTTTAAAATTTACAATCAAAGAAGAAAGATTCTATAATTTCTCTCTGCTCCCATCCTGGGGTCGGGATGGGACACTCTCATTCATGGATTTGCTATTTATCTTTCAGTCCATCCTTTTATATTTTCGTGGCATGTGTGGAACCATAAACACTGTATGATTTTGAGCATTTTAAATAAACTCTACTAACAATGGCTTTATCTTTTACATAACATTCTCTGTTTTTTTTTTTGTTTGTTTGTTTGTTTTTACTCAACTGTCATTTTAAAAGAGAACCCGTCTGTAATGGTACCATGATAATGTTCCATTCTATTCTACACAGAGAGGAAATAAACAGTTTTCAATGTCATGTGTGTGCCTACTTGAAGCTTTGTGTACCTCTCAAGGTACATCAAAAACACATTAATTACAGTCCTAAAATCTTTGTCTTATTTCTTCATTTCTGTCATCGTCCATATTTTGAGATTTATGAAACAGATAATTACAACTATTTAAAAACAACTGTTCTAGATCTTCAGAATGTATTTTGGAAGAACGATCATGACTTTGTTAAATAATTTAACATTTAATACTAATTTTTTATATTATCATGCTCTTAGCCAGTGATACCAAGGCCATGTTTGGCAGACCGAAGGAATCAAACAGAAGAAAAGTTAATTCACAGCCTTGTTAGAATGTGTATTCTACAGCAGTTTCCCCAAGTTTGGTCATCAATATACCAACTGCGTAATTTCTGTTATGTCCACATCCCTCCTATGTATTAATAGTTTATTTTTTCTCTAGATTTACTCATATTTTAAACATTTTAAATTTCAATACTTCATATGTTCTTTTAAGAAATACTCATGAAATTTAGTATGCTGGATATATTTTTGTGATACAAAGCAAATAATAGAAGCATTTATTCTTCTCCAGCGTCTAGACCTCTAGTATATCCTCAGCCTTATATTCACTGCATTGCAGGATAAGCCATTATTTTTTTTGTAGAGGCAGTAAATTGTATTCAAAGTAAGAGGAAAAGGAAGTTCCTGGATACCTTAAGGCACCAACTGTTGCAAGTGAAAGAAGAAATAAACAATTGTCTTGATTAAGCATTAAAATTCTTGTTACCCACAAGGTAAGTGCTAAAATCCCTGATATTCATATGAAGGAAAATTATGCCTACTCCCTAGACTCACCTAATTAAATAAAACTAGAGAGCAGGAAAAAGGTCAATAAGTTACTTATAAAAATTACATCTGTCCATGATCAAAGACAGAGGGCAGAGGAATTTCCACAGAGAAATAAGATTAATCATACTCATAGATGCTATATTTTTGAACCAATATAAACAGAAAATGCCAGTGAAATAAGGAGGAAGGGCTGAACAGAGATGTGGCTCATGTCTGGACAACCTGGGCTTGGAAGAAAACTGTCCTTCATGTAAAACAACAAAAGCACATACATCCACATCTCAGACACATACAGGCTGCTTTTCATATTTAAAATGGATGATCATGGATTTATCACTGTGGACACAAGCTGCTGAATTTACTAGGCATCAGGAAAAACTGTTCTTCAGTTTGAGACCTGTGATGCTATTTAAAAAAACGCGAGTTGCAGAGGCTCCATCCGGGCCCCTAGGTGATCTACTCATAAAGACACCTGCTATTTTCTCAGGAGTCCTTACTCTTCCACCTGGTTCTACTGACTATAAAGTAGCTGCTCTCCACAGAATTTTGCAAATACATGGTCTCATTCATGATGTCCTTTCCTTTTTAGGCAAACTACAGAACAGAGAGCATCACTTTAATCCTGGTAGACTGTCACATGGGAGCAATGGCCTCCTTTGCCACTCACTGTCAAGCCTGAGTTGGGTCCCTTGGTGCTTCTCTTTATCTGAGTGTTCTTGACACTGGATATGGCTCTTGAAGCGGAAATGATTTGTGGGTATATCCTAAGGCTATCTGTTCTCATTCTGGTGTCTCTTTGTGATCCAAATGCTAGGCTCTGGAGAGTGCCATATTATACAGCAACATTAAGACATCTATGTGTTTTAATTATACTTTGACTTAACTCTTCTGCTGCACAAGCTGAGATCCTTCTTTGTACCAGTTATGCCAGAGGATGCAGAGAGGAGCAGGATAAAGTGGTAAGGATAGTGACAATCAATACCATGGTAAGGATAGTGACAATCAATACCAAGCTAATTAAACCTTAGGAGATGAAAGAAAGTCTAAGGTAGGTGAACAGACGAGTACAATCTTTAGTAAGCGTTCAGTGTAACAGGACTTGCATGTTGGGGAAAGTTCATCACGTCTGACTTTGGTCTTCCCATCAACCCTTTGCATGAGACTTGGTGGTGCTCACTTTACAGATGAGAGCATTGACGCTTAAAGGGAAAAGTGGCTTTCCCAAAGTGATACAACTATGAGGTCCACGATCAACTGTGGACTCCCAAACCTTCACTCTTCCCACCACTCAGTGGTTCCCACTCTGATGGTGTGTTAGAACTATCTGAAGCACTTTTCAATAAGAACGGCTGAGGCTCGAGCACAGGTGATTCTAGGGTGTAGTGGGAGCACGGAACCATGAGGCACCATCCACGCACAAGCAAGGGCCTCAAGGGAGCTGTTAACTTTCACTCTGATGATCCATGAACAACATTATAATTTTAAAATATATTCATTCAGAATAGAAACAAAGTGACCATGTATAAGGAGTGTTGGTTTCACTCTTCTAGCAAGTGCTATACTTGTATTTCTTTATGCAGTGGATTGCAGCAGTCTTTCCCCTGTTAATAACAATTTTACAAAACCCTTTTATGTGTACTTTATATCACGTACCACATCAGGTTCCCTGGAGACTCTTGTAGGTTATTTATTTGGGTGGGAGGAGGGAACAGTTATGCCACTGGCTTATTCTAATTCCACTTAAGATTATGAAGCAATTAGAAAAGATTCTGAGCAATAACAAAGGTCCTCAGAGTTTAAAATACACCTGTTTTACAGAATCAAATTTCTCATCAGTGAGGTCTTAAGAATTCCTAAGTGACATGTGCTTCTTAATGAGCATAGCAAAGGAGAAGCCAGCTGCTTTGTTTCAAGAAATGAATCATCATTTAAATGCTTTAAAAGTGTCACAACTCCCTTCTTTGTTCAGCTGTCCTATGTGACAAGTTTTGTAGCTTTTTTTCCTTTTATTTCTTCCCTTTGCCTGCATATGCTGAGCAATAACTGCTGAAAATGTTACACATTTGTTATGGCAGGTTTCTATAAGGTGCTGGGTTACAGGAAATAGTGCAAAGGTACTCCCAGTAAAATCCAAGACATACAAATGACTTACACTGCTATACAATCTTTTTTCTGAGTGTCAAGGTTTTAGACTTATTTATTAGCAGAAGATTGCAGGCTTATTTATAATAAATAAGACTTATTTATTAGCAGAAAATTTCAGACTTATTTGTAATAAATAAGTCTGAAAAACTTATTTGTTAGCAGAAAACTTCATTTTCAATGGTCAATCTATGAAAAGTCCTCATTTCTGTAGAGGCTTTTAGCAGTATTTTCTGGTGAGGGATGTATCATCTTTTAAATAGATTGGTCACACAGATTTATAAGGCAGAGAAGTCGTATTTTCTTGGATTCACGTTGAAATACTTTGCCCTCAATAAAGATAATTTTTACTGGGTGAATGAATGAAAGTAGCACTTCCAGGCCACCTTCTCTAAGAGTATTTTCAAATCTACTCATCTCTGTTTGTAGATGTATCCTGCATTGTTTCATTTTTTTCCTTGACAATGGAACATTCACACTGAATCCAAGGTCATTCCAATTTTAGAATTCAATGGGAGTGAAATATCTTTTTAAATAGGAAAGTGAATCTATCATCTTTACAACTAATAAAATCAAGCCTATGACTGACGATGAGGAGGATGCACTGGATATTCATCAGTGTTGTAACTTTAAAACCAGTCTTGAAGTAATTATTTGGCTAAATCACTACTGGTGTATGATAAAACACCACCAAAAATGCTCCACAATAGCCTAGGTTTTGCGGCACTCAACACACACATAAAATATATAAAAAAGTGAGCCTGGACCTGAGATATTTCATCCAAGAGGTCTTCAGATTGTTTTTACTATCTGCATGGATTACTCTAACATCAAACTATAAG